GTTCTCTCCTGTACAGGTGTGATACCACACACGCTACACAAAAGCCTGGGAACATTACAATTGAGTAGAAATACATACATCACACTACAGAAGGCCACTATATTGAATACATGCCATATTGTTAGGAAATTCCTTAATACAGACACTGACACACACATTTAATTTTAGTTTTGTTTTGGTTGCTATGCCTTGACTCTGGTCCGGCATAGTACACAGCCACCGGTTTGTACCGAGTATAACCCAGTAAACCCAACACATAATAATAATAATAAAAATCGTCTACTCACCTTGCTACACGTAGCAAACGCCATTATCAACGGTCCAGAACTGCCGGATGGCGGCGCTCAGCCGTTCGCCGTACATGTTTTGGGCTAAATACTACGGCCGCAACCTCTCTATTCATTAAAAGAACTAAACATTATTTGAACGTCGGACATTCGAATTCCTACACACGTTCAGTTTTTCTCGTGCGGCTTAGCGATCACATGATGTCAGTGGACCAATTACAACGTCGGACGTGTAAATACCAATTCGAATGTTTGAATGATAGTTTAAAGTAAAGTACAGGTACCGTGTTTCCCCGAAAATAAGACCTAGCACAGATTTTGCTGAATTGCGAAATATAAGACCTCCCCCTGAAAGTAAGACCTAGCGAAGTTTTTTTAAGCGTAACGGTCATAGACAGATGGTTGAAAGTGGCCGTTGGCTTTTTGAAAATACAGCCACTGATTGGTCAGCAGATAATTACGCCACACGGCATGATTTGCATAAGACTATGGCTTGGGAATCACAGATTTGCATAACGTATTATTATAATAACAGACAGATGTCATCGTTTCTCGAAATACAATATCTTTTTTATTCCGCTGTCGATAGCCGGACACATGTTTTGCAGCCATCTTGTATTTTCTTGCGTGCGTGGGATTGTGGGATCTCGCGTATGACTGGACCTAGTTTCAAGAACTCTCTTGAGTCGATCACGATTAAACCTCGTTTCAGTCGAGATTGAAACGGTCTATGGAGATTGCACCAAGGCGAACAGGGTATAAGGCTCTAGTTTAGTAGTGTTACAGAGTATAATACGTATATTTTAATATATTTTTTAAAAGAAACAAAACCACTGAGAAATGTTATGTGTGTTTAACAACGGGTTCGGCCGAACCTGTGCGAACCCGCTGAATATCACCACTGCCCTTGACCAATCACACACGATTGCCAAACTTTACAAAGGTGTCACTGTTAGTAACCATTTAAGCTACTGCTGTGGTGTGTATTGGTGAGGGGTTTTTATAGGGTAGTTTACCATTGCTTTTTCCACCCATCTTGTTTATTTGGGCTCAGGCCTGACAAATAGTTGAAGAATCAATTGTATGGCTGGTTAGTTATTTCAAGATTAATTTAAAGTTAATAATAGAAAACGTTTGGTAAAGAATTCTTATTTTTTATTTTATTATTTGTTAAAGGTTATCAGAAGTTTTGGAAATTTTTACATAATTTACAGATATAAATTTAAGCAGGAGTCAGTTGTCCAATTGACAGAGTGATGCGACTCCCCGGCATATCCAATGTTCCTGTGGCATGCTACTCGGCAACAATATGGCGACAATAAAATTTGTCGAGTGTCCCGTGGTCGAAAGAATGCCCTTCCTCTCATTTGTTTTATAAACTGGGCATTCATAGCTTGGAAACATTTTCAATTCGTCCTTTTTCACAGGTTTGAGCCAAATCTATTGTGAATTCCCATAAGAAAATCTAATTAGATAATTTTGCTAAATTGCATAATTAGAAATCTATGTAATTATTATATCAACAAGAATAAGCAATATGCTAACATATATATATATATTTCAGAATTACATCAATCTTACCACAGGTAGTCTATCATAAAGAACTTTAGGCATTGATTCTCCTAATTCCCAGATCTCGTGATCCCATCTTGCTCCCTCGAGAAATAATCCTCTGATAAATACACCTAAAAATAAAAATCAAATTTTGTACAAAATGTAAAAATAAATGTTTAAAATATTGATATATATATAATATAGTCAAGATCAAATATTAAATTTAAAATTTCACCAAATATGACAAAGAATATTTATATTCTGTTTTTGTTGTTTTGAAAAATGAAAAGCAATTTGGAATAATAGTTGTTAAACAAGTGTAGTGTTATAAACAAATAACACTAATAAAGGAAATACTATGTTAGAAATGTTGCCTCAGTCCATTTAGAAAAAGTAATCATCAGGATAATAATAAAGTTTCTGTTTTCCATTTGTTGTTGTTATATTAAAAGTTTTCAGTAGGCTGATTACATTTACTCTTGTTCAGTTCTGTGTCTTGTTTTTATTAAAATGCAACACCTAAGCCAGACATTTTATCTCATACCAAGTTTTGTCCATTCTATCTTACTGTAGTTCATACAGCAGAATTTGGTCTGCTCGTATCTCCTGGCTGGCAACATTTTGTTGGTATGTTATAAAACGTCATTGGCTTGTTCTATAATGCAACTTTTCAGTTGTCAGTTAACGAGAGATATTTGTTCTTTTTACTATAGTTCTTAGTTTTCAATGAAAGTTTTCTCTTAGTCTTATGAGAGGTTCAAATTCTTATACTATGTCCTGGTTTGCTAATGACAGTGTCACTTACTCTAAGGGTGTGACTATGCATATGCAAGTGAGAACAAGAGCAAGAAATGTCGTCTCTTAAGTACAGTACGACTGCACCAATGCAAGCAAAAGTTATGTGGAGATGACGATGTCACATGTTTGTGTTGAACTTGTTACAAAGAAACATGAATTATTGCACTGTAAGGAAGTAAAAATTGAAATAGTTTGACTATGACACTTTCTAATAACAAAAACATTTTTTTTTTTTCTAGTAGTATTACTTCATAATGAACACACACACAAAGAAAATGAAAATAGTGTTCCTACTCATTAAAAACAGAAAAAGGATAAAGAACTTTATAATAATTTGTTAATAAAACAGAATTTATATGACTGTATATCTATAGTTTGAAAAAAAAACAAAAATGTTTTTATATATACAGCAGACAAAAGATGAGATGCCATCATCTACTTGTGCTAAAGCACATGCACAGTATTCAGCGAGACACAATAAATACCAAACCTTGTCAGATATTTGCAAAAGCCAGAAATTTGCTCTCGACAAGATTTCTTGCTTCTCGCTTGTGCTTGGTTTTCCTTTGCAAGAACTATATTGCTTGCTACTAAATTTGCATCTGCATAGTCACACCCAAGGGGTGCACCAAAAATCTTGCACAGTGCACTTATTAGAAAATTTATCATGTCAGTGTTCCATGAAATTTAAATGCTCTAAGATTTTAACAACATTTATAATAAATTATACCATCAATCGGTGGTTCTTCATAAATTTTGTCCTCCAGTATAATAAAATCAAAAGTGAGATGATCTACTGGTATGGCATATTTACGAGCGTAATTTTGTTGGGCACCAGTCAAAAAAGCTTGAGTGAAGAAGAAACCAGAAATCCAAAATACTGCCGGAGGTCCTCGTGTATACCATTTCTGAAATTTATAAACATATATAAAGACCATCTAAAATTTATTTGAATTTTTAGTTATTTACCTTTATTATTAAATGATATAATAATAAAAATTTTTGTTATCAAATAATTGGAATATTTTGTATCTAATAGAGGTCAATTATAAGTGATGAAAATCTCATATATACTAAATTATTTTTTGCCATAATGTAGTATTCTCAAAAAATTTAATATTCTACCTGTAAAAACTCAATTCTGTTAAGTAGATCGTGGATGTAGCTACCCAAAGGTTTTAAAGAAGGATAAGATTTCGACATCCAAAGCTCCGGAACTTTTCCATTCAATATGCTTTTCATAATTCTTTCGATTTCTGAAGACAATACAATCAAACCCTATAAATATAGTTATATATGAGTTTTACTACATGATACCACAAATCTTTAATTATTTTATACAATATATATAGATTTTTAAAATCTGATTTTAACATTTCTAAACTTTTATATTTAATAGCAAAATGAATCAGTTAGGTATCTGCATTATTTCTAACAATATTAGGCAAAACAGAATCAGAGACTTTCTTCTCTAATGACTCAGTTTTTCTCATTATCTAGTTATTATTTGTGGCACCTCATAGGGATCAGTCTTGAGTAGCATGTGTTTTGTTAATGTAGACATTTCTTATAATTTTGTCATTTATACCAATGTTATTAAACTTACCAGCTAAATTTTTGCAGGTGGTGGATGAATGACTGTGTGGGAGTATTATGATGCCTGTGCTCATGTATGTAGTGAAACTAGGGTATGGCGGAAGAGTCACAGGAGTTGCATTACTGCATGTGAGATGAGGTATTTGAGAGGAATGTGAAGAGAAATAATGACACACACTATGAGAAATGAACAAGTGCTGGAAGAATGTGGGGTGAAAGAGTATGTTTAAAAGATGAGTAAATTGGCCATACGATGGTTTGGCCACATTGAGAGAATGAAAAAGAACTGTTGAAAAGAGTGTACATGGGAAAGCATGGTAGGGGAGAACACAAGCAGTTGGAACATGTGGATGAGTATCTGAAAGAACATAAGGTGTTGAGACAGAAAGAAAATGTGAGGAAGTGAAGTGTGCTAGAAGAGGCATAAGTACAGTACAGTATTTCACAGCCTCTCCACAAAATTTTTTTTGAATAACTTTTGAACTGCATAGTTTTCAGCCTCAATTTTTTGTAGGTGGTACTTTGAGCAAAAAGGAATTGCTTCTATCACAAAAGCATGTTGCTTCAAAACATCTGATTTTTTCTGTAAGTGGCCTCACCTGGTCACCTTACAGCCCTGATTTGAGTCCACTAGACTTCTTTCTTTGGGGATACACGAAGGATCAGGTGTTCAAGAATAATCCTACCACTCTCAGTCAGATGAGAGAAAACATTGAGACCTGTAGTAATGCGATTGCTAATTTTCAAGAGAGACTGCGCTACTGCATCTTGACAGAGGGCAGACATTTCGAAAATATCTTGCATTAATTTCCTTTTTCATCATCTATCTTTGCTGAAAATTTCATTAAAAAATTCAATTTTCAAAAAAGTTATTCAAAAAAAACTGTGGAGAGGCTGTGAAATACCCTGTATGTCTGAACAAGGCAGTGCTGAATGAATGATTTATAAGATTGTAGTCTCATTTTGCCTGCTACTCATCCCTTTTTGGATTATGTGCCTGAGGATATGTATGTATGTTTGTGTTCCACTAATAATAAATGTCTTATCACATTCAAGAAGGTTTTTTTTTAACCATGTTATTTTTAACATTTTCCTCAATAGATTTTTTAATTTATTGCAATTTTCCAATTGTTCCTTTTTTCTTTTTTAATTACAGTAAGTTAAAAAAGGAGATTAAATCTACTGAGACTATATATAAAATATAGGTTTTAGTATTTATTTGTATTAAAAGTTTGTTCAGAATGTTGCATATGGAAGTGGTCATTGAAGCCTATGTGGATGTTTTCAGATCTTTTTATACTTTTATGAAATTTATTTAGTAATTAAATAATGTAGTTCTAAAACATCAAACATTTATAATTACTATTAATTGACTAAAAGCAAATAATCTGATGATCATATAATTAGTTAGTTTTTTTTTAAATAAAAGATCTTTCGTGGTGGCAGATGGCACCACCACTGAAGAGTTTGAGGTTGGCGACATGGAGAAACAAGAGAGACTCATTCTTTATTAGATTAATCGTTGGATGGAACCCACAGAATATGTGCTGAGGTTGAAGCAAAAGGGTAGCATAATGAGTATTCAACTTGGATTGCAAAATTTACGTATCCGAAGGCATTGAGGAAATAAAATTCATTTACTTTGTCAAATAAAAAATATTGTAGTGAATCCTCCCTCATGGAAAACCACACTTTCAAACTGTATTGATCTTAAATGAAACAATTTTAATAATGACCATATTTACAGAAAGGTATAGTGTAAATATATATATACATTGGTGTCCAAATTAAAGCAGCAAACACAAAATGTGACTAGCTGAAACTTACATCATAAGATGGCACTTTGCTGATTTACATATCAGGCAAGTGTCATGCAAATGAGACATGATAGCAGTGCACCTGCGCAACAAAGTGTAATGCACTGTACACATAGATGATTGTCAGAAACAATTTTGCTGTTAGGACTACTAACAATGAAGAAGTGTTTGATACATCAGTAGCTTATCAGGAATGCCTCAAAGAAGGCTGTTCATTTCTGCATTTTGCTTTAATTTTGGACATGTGTATCTTTCTACCTATGGTAATTCCTCCTATTAGTAACTCTCAGTGGTGGTCTCCCTCTCTCTCAGGAAGTTATGCCTTGAGGTAACTGGACTACCAGAAAAAAGTGTGAAGTTTAAACAAAAGAGAAGATATTTTGGAAACAAGAAGAAAAGGGAAACAGATGTGGATATGTTCAACACTGGGGACTTTGTTGGAGGAAGAATAAGGAACTGTGAATGAAGTTAAGAAGATATAAGAGTAATTTCACAGTCCTTGTCTATTTATATATGGTGCATTTGAACAAGAATATCTTCTAGGTTCAGTGATTTTGATGACACTTGAAGAATTCCAATAAGTATCAGGTTGTAAAGGTGAAATTTAGACATTTTAATTTTTTATCTATAATTGAATATAAAAAATGCTCTAGAACATTTGATGTGGGTATATAAATAGAGTAACCAAAGGACATTTCATCACACATTTCATTGGCCAATGTCTGACAATATGAAACTTTTGAAAGAACACATTCATCTGTTGTACTTTTACTCCAAAAGTAGCCACAACACAATGAATGCTCATGATCTCATCTGCAAAGCATTTGTTAAAGTGTTTGTGGATGAACAAAGGTCAATCAACTGTTGCAAATGTCAAAAGGCTGATAGTTCAGAAGGTGGTGATCTGGGTTTGTTTTGTGTCATCACAATGGAGCCACTTTAAATCAACATCACTATCATAAAAGAATTTACTATAAACAACTGGATTATTTGAACATCAAGATCAAAGAACTTTGTCCAAAAATTGACAGTCTGATACTGCCATAACATCCTACCAGCACATAGAACAAAGATGACCTTAGATAATAGTCAGTTGGCACCAAATCTGGGCTGGGTGATTTTGTCTCATCTACCTTATAGCCCAGACTTGCCCACTTCTCTATTTTGTACCCGCATAGAACCATACTGTCAATATATAGTTTGATAACAATACCTGACATTTGAGACTTTCTTCAAATCTATGCTTATAGGATCGAAAGATTGCAGCAAAGGTATCAAGATATGAATTATGTTGATGGTGGTTACCTACCAGGATGAACTTTACAGGTATCCCTTGATTAATGTGATTAATTAATCCCTCAATACTGCCATGTACTGTACATCAAAATTGCTTTAATGAAATACAGTAGTACCTCAGCATTTGACTAAACAATCACAACCTGCTAAATTTTCAGTTAATAACAAATACAGTGGAACCTCGGTATACTTCTGCTTTAGAATACAAACAATTCGGAATACGTCCTGTTTGGACGAAACAAATTTTGCTCGGTATACGACTTTTATTTGGTATACGACTTAATTCAATTATACGCGCCATCTATGAACAAGTAGCACTATCCGTGTACTACACTAGACTAGACGTTAGCGGTGCTACGGTTTATAACTTTGTTAAATTTCTTTTTATTTTAATTTGTAAGTAACATTTTATTATTTTTATTAATCATGAATTGCAAAAGGGCAACAGAAAAATAAAAAAATGACTAGAATCACAACGGAACTGAAAAAAGAGATTGTTGAGAAATATGAAGGTGGCATGCGTGTTCGAGATTTAACGAGATTTAACTGTTGCATTCCATATTCCGAGAACGATGATATCGACAATTGTGAAAAATAAAGACATTATTAAATTTGCTAACGTTGCGAAAGGGGTTAAATCAATTTCTAAACAGAGATCGAAGACATTAGATCGTGTCGAGAAATTGCTTTTGCTTTGGATAACTGAAAAACAGTGTGCCGGCGACAGCGTATCGGAAGAAATTATTTGCGAGAAAGTTAAAAGGATACATGCTGTCTCATGAAAAATCAAGCAGAAACTACCCAGGAAAGCGAGGTGTTTAAAGCCAGCTATTTCTTTTACACGAGAACGGATTAATCATTTTTACATTACTTCTTATGGAAAAGGTTGGTTTGGTATACATCCTATTCGGTATAAGTCCAAACACCAGGAACGGATTATGGTCATATACCGAGGTTCCACTGTACTTTTATTTTAATCTTCTCATCTCTAAGAAAAGTTTCTATGATAAAAAATGAGTAAAGTTTCATTTTATTTTAATTAAATTAGTTAAAGTTTCTTATCTTTGCCAGACAAAATTATACTCAATCCAGTTTGTGTTCTGCATGCATTAATGATTGTTTTTTCACTTATGTCAGTGACACACTACCATTTGTTACAACTTCAGAAGTTGTTATTCATCAATCTTTAACAATTTCTTCTGAAATTTCTTTGTCAATGGCTTTTGGGTATCCTTTAGTTCAAAATTTTCTGAATGAAACTTTCAAACCACATTTAGGAGCATCTTCCCACCAACAACATGAGTATTTTTTACTGTTTGAATAGCATTATATCCTTTACGAAACTTAAAAGCGCACACAATATGCCTGATATGCATTTTACCTGTGGACATTGAAAAGTTTTAAAATAAGCTTGTAAACAATTTACTTCATATTTTGTTTGCATAAATCAAAGAATCACATTAATTATGATAGTTAACACATTACTGCTAAACTACTAATCTGTATGGGAAATCACTCTCAGCATGAAAATAGAAAATTCTCCAACACCTTATTTTCTGAGAAAAACATATTTGTGTTAGGTGAAGGCAGATGTTTTAATTAAAGGGATTGCCACAATTAATTTTGCATGTTAATCAAAACTGTGTTTTGCAAGAGATATCTGTAATTGTTGTTGCCTTTATTGTCAATAAAGTTTTTTTCAAAATGTCTAAATTTCAAAACAGTTTTGTTTTTTACTTTTGTTGGGGTTATAACCCCAACACAAGTAAAAACAATTTTTTTGTCTGAACAAGAATGTAATTGTTAATCTTTCACTTGATAAAATTAAGATCTACATTCTCTGAGCATTCATTTTAAGAATATTACTCCAGAAGTTTTTCTGTAATTATAAAATTAACTTAAAATAAAGAAATGTTTTGAAAGAGGAAATATAATTTATCTTAGATTATTTTATGGTTTTAAATGTACAATATAGAAGATATTACTACTAAGAATTGTTTATGATTTTCATAGTTTAACATCAAATATTTGTATTAAATTTTGAGATAAATAAATGAAAAAATGCATTACCTTGACAGCTTTCTGAACATTATCTAATGATTTTATTATTGTTTTTAAGAGTCTATTGAATCTCTCCATTTCCTGTACAAGCACTGTATTCATACTTTGTTCATAACACATGGGATACAACTTCATTGCTATTTCAATATCAAACAGTTTTGGAAGTTTAGAAACAATGTCGGTAGCTATTTTCAATACATTATCTTCAGCCAACTGATCTCCTTCTGATATGCCATGAGTCTGTATTTTTTAAATAAAAAAAATTAGAAATTATCATTTATCTGTAATAATCTAGTAGTTTGTTTTGATTAATTTATTGTATATTAAGAATGTGTAGAGAGATTAAAATGTTTATTTGATGAATTTCAATCTAACTAGTATTAATACAAAACATAGCCATTATTCTTAGAACTTCAAATTCTCAATTAATATATAGGACATTGGTGCCAACTTTTTAAATATATAGTAGACTCTTGATTATCCAGCATACCTCCAGTGAGGTTGCCTATGCACTTCTGTTTCCATGAAATTGTTAGTGGTGTCACACATCCCATTTTTCCTGTTTAATCAGGTTTCATTTCTATGTACAGTATTAAAAGTTATATTGAAAATAATATGGTGTGCTGCTTTCAAAAAGAAACAGTATAAAAGAGCAACATGTATCATTCATTGCATTTAGGTCTATACATACATTGTAATCTGTATATATGGAATGGTGATTAGTGAGAATGTACTGTATTGTGTGGCTTCATTTATATTTATTTAGCACTGGATCTGATTAGATTGTTATGAAACAGAAAGTTAGCTGATTTTGATTTAATAAATCAAATATTCTTACATCATGTCCAAACCATGTACCTAAATTGTTTTTTGGAAAATCAAAAAAATTTTTTTACAAAATTTTTTAAACTAGGAAATCTGACTAATATTTAAAATACTATTATAGTGCTTTGCAATGTATATATTATTTTTGTCTCTTCTGTTTTTTCCCTCTGTCCCTTCATTCATTTGGTGATATTGCCTTTTCAATGACCTATACTAAGTTTACATCTGGATTGGCCAGCAAGAGTCACATGGGGGAGGGAGGACTTCCTCCCAAGAAGTATAAAAAAACAGAGTTGTGTGTGGAACAATTTTTTTTTCTTTCCCTTGTGTTCCATTGGTGCATGAACCCTGTTTGTCGTTCCCATCAGAGGTTGAGAGGTTGTAAATCCAAATGATCAGAATTAAAAATATCAAGAACTCTAAATTCTAATAATCTATCTAATAAATTTACATTATCTATTATAGATTTAATAACAGTAAGACCAACTGTTGAAAGAAAAGTAAATTTACCCAGATAGTCTGAGGCACATCGACCGTTTAAAATATGTAGTCCATATGACTTAATCAATTGTAAAAAACTTTTTCCTGTTTGGTTTAATATTAAATCATTAGCATTAAATCCAGTATAAAAATTATCCAATTCCTTGCCTATTCTAGCATTCATGTCTCCTAAACTATATTACCCTGAGAAAAATTTCTCAGTAAATCTTCCTGCAGTTTTTTCTGCAACAAAAGTTTTTCTTGCAATTAAATCTAATTACTATCAGATCATTGCAGTCAAACAACAATTCCTAAAAACCTAGTTTATGGGAAATTGCAAGAATGAGACTGCCATATGAATGACCATAACCAATTGGTTTTTTTAGCAAATTGTTCGTATAAAAATAAATCTGGATTCAACAAAGAAAGGACTCGTTTATATGAGTTACTTAGCCAAGTCTCAGCAAAAGCAACTAAATCATAATTTTACTAAAAATATATAAACTCTTGTTCATTCACTGTCAAGTCCAATGTTCCTTGACAATTCGAAGACAATATTCTCATTACTAAAGTTTTATCCCTCTAGCAATTGTTCCAATTAACCCTTTTGGTTGGATTTGTCTAAAAAAGTATTAATCTTCTGCAGTTCGTTTCTAAACTGAAAGTGAGTTTGTCACTATCAACTGTCAAGTAATCAGCTCTCAGAAATGCTTTTTTATTCAGAGGATTAGCTTCTGCAAAAAAGGCAACAATTTTCTATGTCCAATTCTTGATCTATATGACAAATCATCAAAAATCTAATGTGCAAGAAGGATGGCAACTCGTGAGTTTTCTTTAAATTTTTAAAAATAAGTCTTTTATCAGATGAGTCCCTGATATTTGATAACTGTTAATAAAAGAAATAGACTCCCTGTTCTGTCTTTTAAACAACTCAATAAAGCTGTTAGCATTTTAAACTAATTCTTTGTCCTTATCACGCAAACTGGAAACGATAATGTTATTTTCTTCGAATCATTATACATAGGAGTCTATGTAATAATTCTGAAGAGAAAAATTATCCATACATACAGTTCTAAAAGTCAAAAGTTTGGTAACATCTCTTCCAGGAAGGTTAGTTGTTCTTTATACTCCTTATATAAAGTAGACAACCAGTCAAATTTCAATGAAAATTTTTCCAATTGCAATAAAATAGTAAGAAAATGTTTCTAAAGAAAACACAGAATCTTCTGAGATATTTGAGAAGAAATATCCTGCAATGCAAAATAATCATCCAGTCAAGATAATTTCAATGTTGGTTTGCTTGGCGATTGATGATGTTTACCAGCAGAAGTGAAGCTTTATTACGGGAAGAAGGTGCTGTACAAGACATTGGGCCTGGATTAAGTTGGACTCCTCCAATAATAAGTAAAAAGTACAAAATTATGTTAGAAAAAGACTGCTATTAATTGACCTTATTGAGGATAACAGTTGAATTGTAGATCATAACAGTAAGTTGTAAAAAAAACACATTAACAGCCAGCACTGTCAAAAGCATCCCCCCAAATAGTAAATTATAAAAATATATTTTTTAGATTCAGTAAAAATATATTTAATTCTTAGTTTTGTAAAATTATATATAATGTTTTTATCAAAATAAAGTATTTTGATATATTTCAAATAATAGCTGAAGATTGGTATTCAGAAAATTGATTTATTTAATGGCAAATAAATTTTAATCTTTAAAAATTTACAATTAGAACTAATTTTAAAAAATTTATAAATGATTAATTAGTAATTACATATAAATGACAGCTTCATCAATCCCGAAGAAAACATATCTTATCAGAAGGAAAAAAGTATATAATGAGCAAACATTTTATATCAAGAAATTAAAACTTAATTAGAAATATATACTTGGTATGGTATGCATAATATCTTATATAAATATATATAAAGGAATAAGCATTGAAAAATGTCACACACACACTCAATTAGAGTTTCATATATAATGTGTGTTCTATATTCTATCAATCATACAGTTTAACACTGCACCAGAACCAGAAGTGCCACCATTATTTGTCTCATGTTTCAAAGATTTAATCTTGTCATCTGATTATATTTTTATAGTAGTTATTTATATATTAAATACTTTCCTAATTAGTTTCATGCTTATATCATAATTGTTTGAGACAACAATGATTCCTATCCCAGATGATGATAATAGTGGTGCATCCAGTTATATTAGTATGATTCTACTTTATCTTTCAAAGTGTTTTTTCTTAATTAAAATTATTACATCATAAAATTTTTCCTTAAATATTTATCTTGCACATAGCCAATCAACAGTATTAATTTAAAATATATAGTTTTTTGATTTATTAAAGCAGTTAAATATTTATATCTGTTTTTGTTAAAGGAATTTAATAAAATGTGAACTGTATATTGCAGACTATATCAGTGGTATGATTGTACTGTGTGTCTACTAGTTATGTATATTTTGAATTCAGTGGAAGTTTTATTCTAGATGTAAGTTATAATTTTACAAAAATAATCATTGTAAAATATGATTTTTAACTAATAAATTTACTTACCTGAGTAATAAAAACTCCATCAAGTAGCTGAAAAGTTTCTTTTTGGTTTTTAGTAATATCTGCATTAGAATGTAAACCAAAAATTTCTGGACTAGTTATAAGAGGAAGTGCTTTGATGTATTTAATATAATCTTCAAACTAAAAATATAATATATAACATAATTATTATTGAAAACATTTACTACACTCAAGATATCATTTATCATTTATTATTTAAAATTTGTAGATTTACAGCTACATTATGGTTTTTAGAAAAAAATTTTAGAGATTACATTGTAATTATTAATATATGCACATACTTTTATATTTTTCATTAAGTAAAATGTGAGGTTCCAGACTGAGTCCAAATCCCTTATTAAACATACAAAAATTTGATTTATTTAAAGAAAACATTTTGTTAAGAAAAAATATGAAATAAACAGTATGGTTGACCCTGTAAGGTCATGCATGAGTTGATGCAAACTAATGGATTGGAATGTTTAGAATGTCAATCAGGAAAATCAAGCTTTGACTCTGATAATCATAGACATGACAATATTTGGAAATAAATAAGGAAATGTTTTCTTTGCATTGTAAAAACTATTTGTTCATTATATAGTTCATTGCAATGCAAAGACTATTGCATTGTAATTAATTAATAAAAACAAGAAAATTATCATTGCATGAGATACAAGTGATAGTTTTAAAGTTCAATCAACACTTATGGATGAAGTCAAACGAAGGTGTCAAATAGATTAACAGAGAGTGATCTTTCCCATGCCATATCTGGTCATCTAATTTCACCTTGAAATGGGAAAGGACCAATTGGGAGGTAGAGAGAAGAAATCAGGACTAATGAAATTAAGAATTTTGGGAATAAATCCTTTAAAAACCTTGAAATTCAAGGACAAGAAGGTGGTTGCTCCAACCTAGCTCAACCTGTTTGTCCTCTGTGTTGTGTTCCTCTTGTCTTGGACTTTATCATTCTGCCAATAACCACAATTGATTTCTAGCCAGTCTGCCCTGGGGCCATCTGAGTGCTGTCGAAACTCCATCTGATTACTGTTGGACCTCAGATCGCTGTTTGATAACTGATGATGGCAACTTTCCATATTTTGTCTCCATGTAGAGAAGTTCTTGACCAGAATTGTGTAAGCATAATTTTCAAATAAACATCTTGTTGACAATGGTACCCACATTGCATTTTGCACCCTTGTTCATCTTAACAAGATGAGGAATTAACCTCCCTCTTTCTCCCTGTCAGCAATCTCATAAAAAGTTAAATCATAATACAGGGCTTCTTAAACTTTTTTATTCACGACCCCATTTATGATTGTGATTTTTTTCACGACCAAAAAAAAAGTATTGNATTGTGATTTTTTTTTGCGACCCATATATATAAAATAAAGATATATAAAAATTTGCAAAAACAATAATCGTCTACTACCACAGTTCACTCTTGTGTTACAATGGAACAGAGACAACTGAATACACTGAAAAGCAACAATACTACACTAGTTCACACTACAATCAGTGTTGCTGAATCATTGTCTCACAGCACCAGAAGTGACACAAAGCGCAACTCACAAAACCTATGACGCAAAGCATGCCATTTTCAAACTCTCACAAATTATTTTAATGCAAAATATTGAAAATAACTATGCATCTTAAATAAGCTTCTTAAACTATGGGTTGCGACCCATAGTTTAAGAAGCCCCGTCATAATATAACAAAATAAATTTGCTTTAATTCACAATTTTGTTATTTTTTAGTATTTATCAAAAACCACAACTGTTGAATTGCTCTTTGTTCATGGGAACTTTTAGGATATTTCTGAAAGTAATCATTAAAAACTGCACAAGCTTTCTGTAAGATGAATATATATGTATCAATATCTCAAAAATTAAAGACTGATAGATTATGCATACCAATATTTTTATCAGTATCCCTTACATTTGTAAGCAGTTGTAAACTGTATTTAGAATCCATACAATATTGTTTATATTGGATAAAATATCAAGTTTAGTGATCAAGTTATTTACATATTACATTTCACTCAGGCATGCTTCGTAGACAATGTATTGATAGACATAAGTATGGAATCAGGAAAGCTATGGCTGCAATGATTCCCAAACAGTAATTATATCAATATATATGCAATTTTTTATCTGAAACTAAAAGATGAAGGAAGGAGTAAGTGAGATGGGATGGAAAAAAACTGACTCTACAAGTTCAAATATAGGCGATAAAAAAAAATGGACCACTGGCACTATCTTGAGTGAAGGCAAAGCCTTTACTTGATTTCTTCTTTAACAGTATACAACCAAAAGATTTATTAAAAATATTTTCCTCCCATATGGAAAAACAAATGCAAATGACTTATGCTTGTCTCAAGAAATGTTACTTTATTTTCATATAGTTCACAGTTTGTGAATTGCTAGCAAAGGTGACCATCTAATCCAGAATGTACTCCATGTCCTCCTCAGATTTTGGTCCCTCTTATTTGGTGTCTAACCACAGACTTTTTTTTATCTCTTTCTTGTTTATTAAATTAGAACACTAGTCCTCTCACCCATTTCTATTGTGTTCAGTATTGACATCAAACAAAAGAGAAAGATAAAGAAAGAAATAAAATGCTTATTATAAATACTTAATTCTGAAAGCCAAAATTCTTTCAAAAAGAAACACTTTTACAAACCTGAAACATCTTTGGCTTCCACATTTTCATGATCATGTTCCAAATATGTATGAAGTTATTGAAATATACACATACTTTATATTGTCATAATTAAACCTAAATGCATTTCTACAATTTGTACAGCTGAAGAAAATACTAGATATTTATAAGGTGTTTTCATTAGCTATTGCATTTGATTAATGAAAATGTTTTAAGATATTCTGATCATGATTGAACAAAAGCCATACAATTCATATTATTTTTAAAAAAACAATATTTGTATTCTGAAAATTTCTTACAAATTTATAGAATATTTCAATGCTTATTTTCTAATAAAAAAAATGAAATAATAATGCATAATTTTTTATATCAATACATCAAATGCAGTACACTTACATTTTCTTCAACAGGGGCATAATATATTCCAGAAGAATCAAAATAATAATTTTCTTGATTGATTATTTCTGTGCAATAAAATTTATTCAACAGAGTTATTAACGTTCTTCTATCCCAATCATCTGTTACACGCCCACCATAATTACATTCTCCAGTCAGATATTTCAATGCATCATATTGAATTTCCTAACAGTAAAATTTTTTAAATCAAAGTTTCATCGCTCAATTTTAACAATTAGTAGCAAATTACTACGCATTAATTATTAAAATTAACCATATTATGGCCTGAATATTTAGGCAATCATTTGGTGATATTTCTATACAATTACATGTAATGTCTAATGAAATTAATAAATCCTTATAGTTAATGTTAATTAAAGTCTTAAATTAATAATTACCTCATATTCATTAAGGAACATAGCTAATTGCTGAACACTAATTCTAAGATCTGTTTCATTAAATTGATATTGAATATTCCATCCCAGAGATCCAAATTTACGTCTTTCTTGTATTAAGGCATGGAAGAAGCACAACCCAAATAATAATTTTTTGAAAGATTTCTAAAAAATATAAAATTTCATCTGTAAAACTTTTGAAGATAAGTGAAAAAATTTGTATAATTTTGAAACTTTACATATTAAAATAAATATTCATTAATTGTTTTTAATTGTTAAAATTTACTGCTAACTTAGTTAATAATAAAAATCATAAGAAACACAAATAGATGATTTCTTATAATTATAAGATCAACTGAATGATATTTTTACATTTATATAATTTGGATTTTAAGATGCTTATTATTAAAATATGTTTCACAACTTTACCTCACTCAACAATACAATTTAGACTCTGTCAAATTATAAGACAAATTATTGGCAGCAATAACAAGTTCAAATTCAGCCCAGCTGAATTTGAACTGTATCAAATTAAAATAATCTAACAACATAATCAAATAAATATACATTTTAATATGGTAGAGTATAAGAAATATTCTGATATTCATATTTAAGATGTTAAAAGTAAATATAATGAAAAATGAACTAATTTAACAAACATTTTTATTCCCTTGACTGTCCAGAAAAATTGTTAATATTACTTATATTAAAAAGAAATGTTCTATAAATTCTCTTTAATTTATGGATTAATCTTGAAGTTAGAAACAGTGTTTTTGAATTTCAAAAGAAAAGAAAAAAACATTGAGAGACTCCATATCTTCTGAAAATCTTATTCTTTTGTACCTGAATGAAGTGATTTCTGATTGGAAAATTTGCGTAATGAATTGTTGCTATGTTGTAAAGAAGTTATTAAGAATTTATTTTTAGTGATGTTTAATGATATATGAATTTTATAGGTTTTATCATTCATTTTGATAATACAAATGAATACTTTGAAAAAATATTTTCCAGAAAAATTGAAAAATATTTTTTCAAACTATTTGTAAAAATAGTACCTCATTTATTTTAAATTATAATCCTTATTTTACTAATTTTTAAGCATAAAATAACAAAGTTTTTACTTTAGGTATTTCATCAAAATTAAATATTCAAACAAAGGAGTGAACAATGTCTTTACATGAAGAAATTACTTTAAGATAAACTTTGAACTTCAAAAATATTTAGGTTATTAGGATGAACAATTTTATCAGCTTTGAAAATCTCTGATAATAAGTCTTTCATCTTTGATAATTTAAAAATTAAAAATCTTTTGTCTTTCTTTGAATTTTTGAGTACATTTTTGAAGTTTAGATAATGTAATAAAAAGTAAAATATATCTGGATACGAGTCCAATTTTGCTTGCCATGTCCAATTACCAGGAACAACTATTTCCATTGCAGAGACAACCTTTCTTTAGAGGCTATACCTCTGCACAAATATACAAAACAGTTTAACAAAGTTCTACAAAGAAATATTATATTTTTAATTGTGTTGGGATTGTCACCTGTGAACATTTTAAACTGTTTTGCATATTTGTGCAGAGGCATAGCCTCTAAAGAAAGGTTGTCTCTGCAATGGAAATAGTTGTTCCTGGTGATTGGACGTGGCAAGCAAAATTGGACTCGTATCTAGATGTATTTTACTTTTTATTAAATTGTAATTCTGCCAGCCCTTTTCTACAAAGTTTAGATAATGATTAAAATTTGAATAAATTCTCAATATAAATCATTATGGAGATTATGCTGATATTTTGTGTTTTATGCAGTGAAATTTGGAAATGCAGCATATTAGTTAACTGTTGTTAGTAAAACTATCAAACTACATTTAATATAATAATATAAAAATATTTTAAAAATTTGTTTACTATTCAGAAACTATATTACCTATTTTCAATAAAAAAAATTATTCAAAATTGTAAATGATTTTTCAAATTATCATATTTAAAGAACAATTAACCAAGTGACAAATTTATACTAATACTTACTGGATTTTGACAAGAATTAAAAAATTCTGGATCACATATTGGATCATTGTAATAAGACTGAAGAAGATTAGACTTTAAACCTTTTGGACGTTCGTTTGTCACTTTAATTCCATTTTGCAATATTGAAATTGGAAAATGAATTGAAGGATAAGATGTCAACCACAAACGAAAATTTTTGTGTATAGATTCTGGATTTAAATCTTCACATATCTTAAAATAGGTATAAAATAATTAATAAAGCATTTTTCTTAATAGTTTTAAAATGGCAATTTATTCAATATATTCTCATTTTAAAAAATTGAACTGCAATTAGATTTTAAACAAATTTAATTTTTATTAAACAGATCTACATAAAAATTTATAATAATAAATACAGTAGTCTCTTTTTCCACTACATTGACTAAATATAGTAAAAAGGGAAGTAGAATTATATTATTACACAGTGACATGAGCTTTCCATTATATATAGTTAACAATGCATCGTAAACTGTTTTAAATTCTGATATTTGAAAAATGAGTTTCATCCAAAATGTTCAGATTATTTTGAAAATATAAATTTTTATTTGATAGAAGATATGAAATTTTCACCTATTGTGTCATAACCATTTTGCAATATTGGAGAATAATAGTAATTATAATATTTATTATAATATAACTACATGATCAATGTGCTATCAATAGCTTAAGTGTGAATAGAACCCAAATATCAAAATTATATTCTTTGTTTCTTTTCATCATGATTGCTATTATTCTTTTTTCTTTTGTTGTTTAATTGCTACTTGTTCTCCTGATAGATATTTTAGTGATAAGCATAAATTTTGCTGAAGAGAACAAATCATACAAGGAACACACTAGTTATTCTGTAGGTTGCAATTTAAAGTTGACTTACAATTTTAAATTTTCAGAAACAAAATCCCCATACATTTTCCCCTTAAGTTATTTTTATATAAAGAGAAAGAAGAATAATAAAAGTAAATAAATCCATTCTTCAGTTGGCAAACTTAAAAATACAAATGTTATTTTCCATAATTTTTGCTATGGTAATTGGAAAAGATGATGATAATATAAAAGAACAGTGGAAGCCCGTTTATCCAGTACAAATGGGACCAAGCCCAATCTGAATGCCCAAAAATCCAGATAATCTGAAAAATTTGTTAATGACACAAATAACACAGTTTAGATATACATTATATCTTATTATTGCACATTATATATACTTTTACAACAATATTAACAGTATAAAGCAAAAGACATATCTAAATACAGTATCAGCTTGTTGTTTTCTATCAGTACAGTATGTATCAGTACAGTACATCAGTACATGAGGTAGAACTTTTCTTTATGACCTTTATCAAGGTTAACTGGTAATTAGGTTTAGTGCTCTGTAGGGAAATGAAAGGACTGGTTTGAACCAAAGTAATTGTGATATACTTTACTGTATTTATTTCTGTTACCAGATTCTCAGTTATAAAATCACAGGTGTGCAAACCTGGGATTGAGTCAAAGGAAAACAGTACTCTTACAGTTGCAACATTATACTCAGGCAAGAATGTACTACTTACAAGTTCTGTAATTTTTTCACATATATAGGTTTTCCATATGTCTGTCTTATTCCGGATAAACAGGGTTCCACTGTATTTACATTATAACATTTTTTTGAAATATTGTTTCAATTATTAATATCAATTACAATTATGATATTTTTCAAAAAGCTTTGGCAAAGTGTTTGCTAAAAGCAAATTTTATTAAAAAGTTATAATAAAATTGTTTTTAAAAAATTAATTTATTTATTTATTCATATTTCTTAAGCCTGGTACTCACATGTGGCAACGGATGACGGAAACCGTCAACGAAATGGCAAAAATTATGTCACTTTTGCTGTTGAAGCCAACAGAATACGAAGTTGAAAATTTTCAACTTTTGCCATCACAGAAAGTGGAACAGCAAAAATTAGACCAATAGGAAGGCTGTTTAGCAATGTCATCCTAAAGATCACGTGGAATGAGAGTATTCAAACTATGGTGGTCAATAAGCTAAAAAGCTTTATTTGTACACTAATATACTAATATATTTAATTTATACGCTATATTATTATCCAATTTAAATATTAATGTCAAATAGATGTACTTACTGTGTGAAGTATTGGGAATAGAGTAATCGTAATTTGGTGATGAAAGTATTCGATATTTCTAACTTTCTACGATTTCGAATATTTTTCCTATTCAAATTATTCATTTTTGAGGTTTTTAATTTACGATGAGATAGAAGGTAAACTTAAAAAGTTTAATTGATATAACAAAACAAATCTGGGTAGACGCCATTATTGACTACTGGCACATGGCCTCCTACTGTAGTAGCTTGTTTATATTTACGGCTGGCAGATGGCACATTTCAATTGTAGGATAATTTTCATATATGAGTACATGTGACACGGAAAGACAAGGGAACGGCAACTGTTTCCGTCGATGGTTTCCATCATCTGTTTCAGTACTTGAGTACCAGACTTTACAAGATTCAAAAATCTAAAAGATAAACAATTTACGTATATACCTACCTTTTCTAGCATAGGCATCCACGATGGTGCTAAATGACAATTTTGAAGAACAATCCAAATACCATTTGTTGTTCCCTCTTCAATCATGGTTGCTGCAATTGGACCTTGGCCTTGACCAAGTGATAGAGAATAAAGAAGATTTCCACCAAACCCCTATGTAAAATAATATAATATTACATTTATAATAATAATAATAATTATTAAGTTTAAAAAACTTGCAAATATCTAAAAAGTATGATGTTCAATTTCCTAGAAAGCATTCATGCTCTAACCCTTTATAAATATCAAGGATATGAACATGAATGTTTTCTAAAAAATGATAGTAAAAAGATTTCTTCCAATAAATATTCTCTCTTGATAATGAAACAGAAAAAACTGTATTAAACAGATAAATTTTCATATAAATTTTTATAAAGAACTAGAAGAAAGTCAATATCACAATGAATGTTTTCTATTTGAAATAAACCAGCAATGAATTGCTCAACTTTCTCGACAACATTTAAAATTTTGGTGGCATCAACTGTTATCATATTTTATTAAAAAGCTTTTTATATTTTTAACTATAATAAAATGACAAAAAGCTTAATTTTGAGGGTACGGATGGTTTTTATAAAAAACTGTAAATGCTAATAACCAGTAAAATCATCATTAACTCCAATCCTACGGGAGATACACAAGACCCCCATTATCTCCCTACCCTACCCCCTTGACCTTTAATCAGCAAAACTTAATAGCATCAATCTCCCCTAATACACAAATTTCTCTGAAAAATTTCAGAAATTTTCAACAAAAAGCACAGGCGTTATTAAGCTTCAAACAGGATGAACAAAATCATGCCATACACACTAACATCAAAACACATAAAATTATCCCCAAAATTTTTTAATTTCTTGACATTTGAAGGTGTCCTAAGTCCAAAAATGTAAAAGTCTTGGGGGATCATTTTTTGACTAATTGCCATACTTTTCCTCTATTATACATAACAGCCGGAAAAGTAAAATAAATAATATTGAAGAAAAGAGTATATTAAGATCTTCAAAATATATATATTCAATGCCATTCATTAAAAACCAAATGCTGTTATATTGGTATGTACAATATTTATATAAATAGTTGTTAATAACTAATTATAACATAATCTCAAAAAGAAAACTGATCTAAATTTTTTTAATGATTGTAGTTTTTGCATTCATAAACTGAATATAAAAGTCTAAAGAATGCATTGTAATATGGACACCAGTGGCATATCCAAAGAGGTGCCAAGGGGCCCTGGCACCCCCCAAATTAAAAGGAAAAAAAACACTAGTAAATTTTCCAAGTTTTTTCCTAACTAAAATTTTTTTTATTTATATTGTATTCTGTCTTCTATTTCTATACTATTTATGAATTAGTGATCATATAAGGTTGGAACAGTGGTAAAGTGTGGGTTCAAAACTAGGGGAAACGTGTAACTGGTAGAGGACCATTTTTTTTGGTAACTTTTTCTGCCCTGTGGGCACTAAGATGGTCTTTTTAGGCAATCCCATTATAGGTTTGGCCAGGCCCACAATGGGGCATCCAAGTGATGAGGAACGAAGCCTGACGTATGTGACGGACCACATCTTGAAAAATTTCTAGGAATTTTTCGACCCATCTGGATTCAAATCCAGGGCCCCAGAGTGATAGGTTGCCACCTTTAACTGCTTGGCCATCTGGCTGTCTAACCGGTAAAGGACTAAAACCAGGTATATTTTAGCACATGTCCATCTAAACAGATAGTAAAACAAAACAATTATCTGATAAATGCATTTAAACAAAATTTAACGTCTTACCTTATCTTTTGTATACTAGTACTAGTCAGAAGAAATTTATTTGAAATTGGGTAACAAAATAATTTAATTTTTAACAAATTGTAAAGATGCACCACAGAAGAAGTGTTGCTTCCATCACCATTGGGTTGGAATTATTAAATTTGCATTAAAAATTTTTTATCCATTCAACTTGGTTCCCTCCAAGATTAAATTTTGAGTGTGCCACTAATAAATATTCTACAATTTTTACTTATGTTTAATAATACACATAAAATTCATGATAAGAAATTGTATATATAAAGTAATGAAATGAAATTACTAAAATGAAAGATATTGAAAATAAATATAGAGAAGTCCAGTGTAAAAGATATGTATTATAGAGATTTATAATGTTTTTATTTTATTTGAGGTCTTAAAGATACTGATTAAATAATTAAAGATATTTAATACTGTATTCATATTTTATGTTAGTATTCTAAAGATTGAAATTTAAAAAATACACAAACCTTATCTTCTGCAAATTTCAATAAAGATGCTGTAGGATCAACTCCAGGAGATAATATAAAAATAAAAGGTATGCAACAGTCACTGTCTAAAAATATTTCTTCAAGATCAAAATGGGGTATTTCAATAAAAGTTGATCCTAAATGTACAGAAATAAAATTTTCTATAGCTGGAATCACTTTGTCGGGAGTTAAACAACGTACGACAAGTATCTTTTGAAAATCATCTAAACTATTCCATTCTTCTGGAAAACTTTCCTTATGAGGATGCTATTTAAATTATATTAAACAAATTAAAATAATTTTCATTTATCAATATAAAAATTCATCAAATAAGTATAGTGTTATTTGAAATATATTATGGTATTCCACATAATGCTATGATACTCACCTCACTATTGTATATATTTTTCCATAAAGAACTATATTCAGTTAGTGAATTTCTTAAACCATTAAAATTAGGTAAATTATCCAAGCTACAAATTTCATCCCAAGACTTTAAAGGAAGCCATCCTGTTTCATTATAGTAAGGATTTTCCAAGCTAATTCCTCCAGTTAACAAGAAATTCCATTCATCTTCATTAATTAATGATTTATATTTCATAAGATTAATACAAAGTAAAAATGCAAATAATAACTGAAACAAAATTAAACTACATAAATATATATAAATAAAGACTTTATTTATTAGCTAATATCTATAAATAAAAAGTTTATATATAACTGATAATTATATTTTTCTACATATTTTGCTTCAGTTTATGACTTGATGTATAGCACTATGCTATAGTAGTTCTATAAAAGATGTCATAAATATATCATATTTCTGGTAATAAATAAGATTTTCACATAAAAATTAAGCTATTCACAAGCCAAATTGATTAAATCCACATTTTGAATTTTTTTAAATTTTAGTGTGAAAACACTTGATATACTTGTAACTTTTTATATTCATAATAAGTTTCCCTAATAATAAGGATGAATACCACTTAATAACAAAATTTTATTGGCCATGGAAAAATTTTTTATTTATTTCAGAAGTCAATCCAATTAACTCCATAATGTAACTTTAATCTGCTAGTGCACACTGCGATTGCAATGCTGCAGTGTGCGCTGACCAGTGCTTTATAGATAACGATAAATTATTTAATGTTATCTCATCGCAAAAAGTAAGTAAAAGAAATTAGTTAGTTACAGTCCAACTGCTGCAGAAGTAAGTATACTTGTGGAATATTGAATGATTGTTTTAATTTTGGTGACAATTGTTTTAGAAAAAAAGAAAAGTTATACCTGTTATATCAAGATAGATAAAACTGAAAACAATTTTTTTTATTTCTCCTATTAAAAATGATTCTTATAAAAATTTTTAAAAAATCGACGTGATGAGTGACACTCAAATACAGCTGACAAAGAAGATATTTATGTTGCTGAATAATCAATTCAAACAAAATAATAAATAACAGTCATTGTAACAGTAACAGAACAAGCTATAAAATATATAATTTTTTTAGTCTATTTTATTTCCTTTTCACAGACCAATTCAGAAGTAACAGTCAATTAGTAACAGTCAAACAGCTTGAAGAAATAAAAAATCTTCTTAAGATAAAATAAATAGATTATTAAAAAATTACCACAAAGTTAAAAAATGATCAAAGTTATGCAAAGCAGCAGAACAGTTATTATTCATTTTTGCGAAAAATTGTTAATAATAAATGTATGCTAATGTGAAGACTGAATTTGATGTTACTACTTTTTTCACTAGCCAAACAGATTAACTCCGTCAATCACACCAAAATCATAACAACAATAACGATTATAGCATATCTATGCTATCTTATACATTTTATATGTCGTTAAATAAAAGATACATCTACATTAATACATTCTACAATGTTTATTTGAATTTATATTTTACAAGAAATTTTAAAAATGAATATATATTACTTTGTCACTTTTCTCCATTTTTTGTTTTATGGAGTTAATTGATTTGGCAAGTGAGTGGCTCAATTATTATATAAAATTAATTTACATACATACATATATACATACATTAGAATAATTTAATAACATCATTAGTGCTGTCATTATCAATAGATTGCCATTTTTATATGTTTATATAATCTATTTAATTACAAACATCGCTAAACTCGATACATAATATAGCTAGACACCAACCAAATGCCGAAATTCTATCGGGCTACTTTAAGGCTAATTCCAAATGAATTACATAACCAATTTGGCTCTAACACTTATCTCTAGAACCAAATTGGTTATACGTAATTCATTTAGTAATTAGTCTTAAACTAGCCCGATAGAATTTCGGCATTTGGTTGATGTCTAGCTATAATCTATTTAAGGAATTACAGAAACTTTAATTTATCAATTTATTTAAATTTTTAATAATGGAAACTGGAAAAACTCATTAAATTCATTGAATACTTCATGTTTTATACAAATATAAATAAATGATAATTAAGCAATAATACATCAATTAAGAAAAAAAATTAAAAAATTATATATAATAAATCTATCTAACATACTATTCTTTTTTTTTTTTATTAATATTATAAGATGGGTTTTGGAGATAAAAGAAAGAAAGACATATTCAATGACATTTTTTAAGATAAATGTATTAATTGAAAAAAATTTAAAACTTGGCCAACATTATTAATTTTTTTTTAAAATATATTAATTTAGTTGTAATTAAATAATTGTTCTTTATAACAGCAGAATAATTTTTAATATAGATTACTATCTAATTTCATAAATGTTATGGAAATTTCAAATACAATACAAAAATATGAAAAGATTTAGCACAAACTTTTCCTTTTCTATGGCTGTGACTTTATACATAATAGTGAATAATAATCATATAATTATGATCTTCATATTTTTGAGAAGCAGATAGTATAGTTAGTGGGCATTAATTTACTATTTTAAATTGATATTTTTTTAGTTTAAAAATGATAGTTCTTACAGCAAAAACTTATTACATATAGATGAATCATTTGAATTATAATAATAATGTAATGGTGTCTTGCATCTGTGATGTTACAAGGATAATTTGTGAAGACCTTTGTGATTCTTCTAAATGTGAATTTTTAATAATTTTAATAATATATTAAAAATATATATATAATTATAAATCTCCGTTTTTCTCATATAAGTGAATGAATATTTTTATATAATTATATAAAATAAGTTTACTTTATATAATTTTCAAAATTTTCTTAAATAGCAATTAAACACTTTTAATGAAATGTGCTATTTGTAATATTGAAAAACACTCACTTTGTCTTTTTCAAACAAACTTCTGCAAATATTTCTGTATAATGATATGGTGAAGTATTCACGTAAAATCTGCAACCGCATTTGCAAATCTTCAGACTTTTCAGAGTTATCTATTGATTTTTTAAACAGATTTACAAACCATGCCAATGAATATTGATACATTGGATTAATATTTGCTAAATTGGCAATTGTGAAAAATAATATTGAAGAATGAGTAGCAATTGGTTTATAACCTTCTCTGGTTTCCTCTATTTTTGCTTCTGTTTGTTCAGCTGCAATCTGAAAAATATAAAATTTTATATTATGATATAATATGAAATGAATATTTCACTACATCTGTTTTTTATTATTAAAATTAATTTTAGAATACTTTGAAAAAAAATTTTAAAAAATGGAAAAAATTTGTACACAAAATTATATTGAAACATAAATGTGAAATTCAAATACTGGGTATTTTTGTTTTACATTTTTCATTTATATTAATTATTTTAACTACAAGAAAGTTTATTTTTATTGATTAATTCTTTTCTACAATGTTATTTGAATGCAATAATTCATAATAATTGAACAAAATTATTGAATTGGCAATGTTTTTTCCAGTTTTAAAGAGGCAAAAAATTGCTCTTGACCTATATTCAAGCCTTAACTTATATTTGGGTATAATTAAAGTTTTCATTGCTTTCAATAAACTGTCTGTGGTACAAGTTATACAGAGTTAAACTAATGCTAAAATTCAATGTGTCAATTATTTAATGATGCTAAACATAACTGACCAAATTTTGACCTGTCACACTGCAGCCCATAATAACTAATACTGTACACATTATACAGTTTTATTGAAGGGTAATCACACAATTTAAGCCATTATTGCCTTATATACAACCTAAAATTCATTTTGGTCCCTGGTTTTAAATGGTCCTCATCAATTAGGGGATCATATATTATAAATAAGGCAAAAACTACATTAACAATGTTACAAGACTCATACAAACATCCATAAACCTCATAATACCACTAAAATAGTAATAAAATGCTAAAAACCAATAACCAATAAAATACATAAATCACAGGTTTATGGATGTTGGTATGAGTTTTGTAACATTATTAATGAATTTTTTACCTTATTTATAATATATGATCACCTAATTGATGAAGACCATTTAACACCAGGGTCCAAAATGAATTTTAGGTTGCATATAAGGCAATAATGGTTTCAATTGTGTGATAACCCTTCAATAAAACTATTTGCTATGTATTTGTATAAAATATAATGTATTAAAAATAAAGGAATTTAAAGTTAATTAAATTAAATTAATACAGTACTATAATTTTTATCATGTTTAAAATTCATAAAAAAATTAATAATCAACCAAATACATTTTGATATGAAATGGATTTTGCATAAATTTATGTATAATGTAAATCTATCCTTTATAAATTCGATATTAACAATATGTTTTATTCATGAGCCATCTCCAAGCATTTGGTAATGTTTCATAGTCTTTACCATTACTTTTCCTCTTAAACTCTTTTTGTATATTCATGCTTTCTCTAATCTCCATTTGCCTTTTTCATCTATTTCCTCTAACATTCTTGCACATTCCTATTGTATTTTGTTTTCTTTATTAAGGAATTCTTGACTCAGCATGAGAGTGATTTTTCCCGTCTGAATCAATATCTTTAAGGGAAAAAAATGATGTTTTGGAGGTTGTGCAGAAAGCATTTATATACAAAAGTAGTTGAAGAGGAGAATTAATTAATACCAAAAACTTTGAAATACACCAAAAGCTTGGAAATGGCTCATAAACAAAATACATTATTAACAATAGTAAATTTTTTATGATTTTTGAGGATGCAAAAAAGCAAGGTGAGGTTTTTGCAAGTGAATGTCTAAGTGATTTGCATTGTATGATATTATTATTTTATAATTATCATTGCTGTTGTAAAAATGCAATTCTTGCAGGGAGAATATGAAATGTCTCATATGTGAGAGAATGGAAACTGCCAAGTAATTTCGTTACAAAGGATCATATCTAGTGTTCTCCCAGATATCAGCAAAATTTACAGTACCATCATAGTACAGTTACAGTTTCATAGAATGATTGAAAATGATACATGAATATTCAGCTGATGCACATTGATGATTGCAAAACATCAAATGTCAAAACAATACAATGTCAAACCATGCAATGTCAAAACAAATAACTGTTCTAATAGAACAGTTATTTGTTTTGACATTGCACAACATTTATTTTAGTTTGTGTTACATTTCAATAAAGAAATGTTGAAAATTAATCCTTTAAATGTTGCAAAACTTTTATTTGATAAAGTGTTGTCAAATCACTCAAAATCAACTCTAATTAATTGTAAGAAAACTGAATTAATAGATCAACTTCTCATTAAACATTATTACTTTATTATTATTCCCTCATATCATATGGTTATAATGTCACTTATAAGTAAATACATTCCTTATGTTACCATATTATGTTTTATAACTGTAATAAGAATTGCTATCAAGCAAGTAAATATTTTGTTGAAAGTAAGAAAAATTTGGAATTTGATCAGATAGAGCCAGAGTATTTTTTATTGTTATTTAATACATAATTTTTTATTTTACCAAATTTCATTAAACTCTAAGAATCATCTGTGTAAGGTTCATTGTTATTAGAGATTAAGATAGTTTTAGAGGTGGATGCCAATGGTTTTAGATTGTACATCTAGATGTTATATAAAAAAATTTAGGTAACTTCGCTACTGAGCCAAATCACTTTGTATCTTTGTGTGTCTTCCAACCATGGGCTTGTGCCTAACAATACTTGAGAAAACTGTTATTAGAATAACTCCAATAAGGAAGATTTCTGTTATATATATATATATATATATATATCCTTGTGGCTGAAGAAAAAAGATNATATATATATTTTTTTTAATTTGGTGTTGTTTTTTAATTGTACAGCCTTTAACTTTGTCAAAAAATTTCAATCAAATTTGAAGACTGCTTCAGCAAAAATAAAATACAAAATTCAGTATAAATAAATTTTTAGAAAAGAAATTCTTTTTCTTCTATTTTATTTTATCTTGTTTTAAATAGAGTTTTATTTAATACTGTAGTGCTGCATCACTATACTTTTGTTTTTGGTATTTGTATATTATACCCTTTGTATAATAAGTTTTGTTATTTCGTGCCTGAAATTGTAATTGTGTAATTGTTATTTTATTAATTTTCCGTTCTGTCTGAACCACCTTTTTTTTTTTTGGTGGCACCACCACCATGTAACAATTGGCTGTGCAGTGATCACGTGAAGAGGGTGATGTAGCATGATGGCGGGACGTATAAATTGTCGTCCCATGTGTGAAGGATCCACCTTTTTTTCCTAACCGGGACTTGGATCAGGTGTGCAGAGGTGTTGGAGTGAAGAGTGAGATAGAAGAAAGTAAGGACATGATTCATTTTGGACAAAGGAATCGTCTTCTCTGAGCTAATCAGGGAGCCACGTGGCTGAATTTATTGTGAGCAGACTCTGGAATACAAGGTGGAACTTTCATTCTCGTACTAAGGAGATTCAACGAGGAACCTGCATCTGTAAAAATAATTGTAAAAATTTTTTTCTTTCAATTATATCCACAAGGGGAGAATATACTAATTGTCGTGAGTGTTGTTACTTGTACCTAGTAGTAGTTAGTGAATGTTTAGTCATATTGTCAATTATTAAAACTTTTTTCAAATTGCATCTCAAGTTGTTGTTCATGTAAAGTCCTCACACACACATTTTTACCCAACTGATTGTCTGGAGTATTTTCAATACTCCCAGACACTACAATACATTAGTAACATAATTGTTATGTTATATAAAAAGCAACATTATTAATGCTAATATGTGCAAATGAATCTTATATATGAAATTTTGTATATTAATATTTATTGTAATCAACTGAAAGTTCATTATATATTGAAAAATCAAATAAATATTATATAGTATAGTATTAAAAAAAAACCTGTTTTTCTTCAATTTCATTTGATAGTAATTTTGATGATGAAAGTGCTTTGATTGCTGTCTCATCTTCCAAGATATTACCCTTTGCTGTTGATAAAATTTCTAATATATGATCCTCAATTTCTTTTAATTGTCTGAAAAAATTAATATTAATAAATTAAAAAATAAAATTTCAAAAAAGATAATAAAATAGTATTGAAAATGAACTAATATAAATATTTAAGATGAATAATAATGAAATTATAGTATAATTATTATTTAAAATTACTATAATAATTATTCATTGAAGTATCCTAAAACTGCTTTTGAGTTTGTAATCCCTAAGTAAATGCAAAATTCAGAAATGGAAACATTTTTGTTTATTAAATTGATGAAGCCAAATTCAATAATGATATGCATATTATATTAATAAAATTAGCTAGAAATATATAAGACAATGCATACTTTATAAACAAAAGTTAATTTTCTATGACATATCAGAACAAGATTAAAAAGTTTTACTTATTTATGACGTTTTATAAATAAGTAAAATTGCTTTAAGACTTAAATAATATAATTTATTTATTTAATTAGTAATTAACCGCATAAGGTTATATCTAAATTTAAATACATCTGGAAGCAAAGGCTTGTTCAGGGTCCAGGAGGTGCAACTGGCAAGTGCACTACACATCAAGCAAAGGTTGAGGGTTCAAGCCCTGCCCTGGGCTAGTTCTTTCTTCCAGATGATTCTAAATTATTTAATAAATTTTTTAAATTACAATTATTAATTTAGATAAGTGATGACACTTAACATATAACTTTAGTAGCAAATTACTTAGTATTAATTATTAAAAATAGTGGATTTATAGTCTGAATATTTAAGGCAATTGTTTGGCTATGTATCTAAATACTTAATATTCATTTTCATATTAAAATAAGTTTAAAATGGAAAGAAAATTATGTTTTTATTGTGCAATATAAATAGATTATTATTATATTATATATTATAAATATATTAATTAATACACAGTTATATCAGGAATGATCATTAGTTTTTATTTAGTTTAAATCAAAAATAGTAATTACAGTGGTGCCTCGTATAGTGTACACCTCGAATAACAGACGCTGTGAACAACGGACTTTCTGTTTGGCCGTTACATGACTCGAGCAACGGACTGGCCGCGAATGATATTTCCACTCTTTTGCCGTTGCCAATGACAATCTGCTATTATTAGAATTTATTATTAGTATATCTGAAGTACAGAGCTCCCGTTGGAATTCGGCTTGCTCCCTTGTTTATTACGCACATCACCTCAGTGCAGGGTATTTACATTTATTGAAGTGTTGTGCAAATCATGGCTTCTAAAAAAATAAAGGTGATTTCAATTTTAATAAAGCAAGAAATCATCAGAAGGAGTGAAAGTTGACACAGACTTCCTTGTCAAATGGGGAGAGGTTCAGGAGTTTACAAACACTCATTATCCAAACAGAGCTAAGGCCAACAGGATCAATGATCTCTACAATGACACCCTTGCCTGTCATTTCTGACAGGTGTTGAAGAAGAGAGAGAGACAGACCACCTTGGACATGTTTTTCAAGAAGCCAGCTACCAAAAAACAAAGGACGGAACAAGAGGAGTTGACCATGCAAGCTCTGGTAGCCTCTCCTGAATCTGACTCCGATTAAAAAACAATAAAAGGAGACCTGCTGCAATGTGTAAAAAGTCTGTATCTGTATGAATGTGTGAAGAAAGTGTTCCTCCACCTCCTCTTCACATCTGACTACCCGGCATAATTGGTGACTGCTCCATTTTTTTTTTTTTTTTATGGTACAGTACAGTTATTTTATGCTGTGGAATGAATTATATGTTTTAACATGTATTTCTATGGAAAAATGCGTTTTGTATAACGGACTTTTCACTCAATGGATGTGCATCTGGAACGGATTAAGTACGTTATACGGGGCACCACTGTATATTAAATTTTAAAATATAGTTAAAATAGTATTAATTAAATATTAAAGATAATTACAATATGTATATATTGAACTAACTTTTTATTTTTTGCACTTTTTATAATAAGTTCATTTCTTTCATTTTCTAATTCTTGTTTTTCTTTAGCAACAACAATTCCTAACAATTGATCTTCCAATCCAGTTCGTGTTATCATAAAGTTTATCAGAGTTACTTTTACAGAAATATTGGGAAGATAATGAGGATTAGGCAATTTAGTAGTCATATAGAGTCTAAAATCTGAAGAATATTCAACTGTACTTTCACCAAGTTTAATGTACAATGTTTTTCCATCTTTGAAGGTTTGTTTCAATAATAAAGGTTCTAAAACAGGATCTAATTCTTCTCCAATATTTTCTAATAAAACCTGAAAAGCATAAGATGTATAATAAAATTATTGGAATTAAGTGTAATTAGATGTATGAAATAAAGAAATGCTAATTTATTTTAAGTTAAATTGTTTTTCTATATTTTTAGCAGTAAGCACAATTATTTTAAATAGATTACAAGATTTAAATTCTATTTTAATTCTGAATAAAATTCTCAGCTTTTACCATCATGTCATATGTATTGAGTTACATACTGGTAATTAAAATTTTCTTATTCAGTAGGTTACATAGCTTTACAAAATGATTATTTTAATAGTTGAAACTTCAACATCAATAAAAATATAGAATTAACTAATTATTAAAACCTCCAGTAATGAGTTGCATAACTTTCTTGGCAACAACATTTAATACTTTGTGTGGCATCATCTGTTATGATATTTTATTTAAAAACTTTTTATATAAATTAATTATTATAAAATTAGCAAAGAGCTTAGTTTTGAAAGTAAAAATGAGTTTTATAAAAATTGTAAGTGCTAATACAAATGTTATGTCTGTAAAATAAATGACTTTTGTTAACATATATAATTAACTTTATTATAATACAAACATAACTTTGTGCCTCCAGGTCTAATTGTCACCACAGCTAATGCATGACTGCCTGGAGACAAAGGAACACAACAAAAATCAAAAGTTGCCTAACTAGGTCAAGGGGCAATTCAGTGAGAGTTATCCCCTGGAGGTTTACATACATAACAACAAATAAAATCTTCATTAAGACTGACCCTAGTCAAAAAAGAACAAATGATCCTCCTATATCTCCCCATTCTTTTGATCTGTAACCATCAAAATTTAATAGTATCAATCCCCCTAATACACAAACCTTTCTGCAAAATTTCAGAGAATTTTGACAAAAATCACAGGTGTTATTAAGCTTCAAAGAGAATGAACAAATCATGCCCCCCACACATGCAAACATCCATATATACAGAAAAACCCCCAGATTCTTTTTGCATTTCTTGATGTTTCAAGATCTTGAGTCCAAAAATGTAAAAATCTTGGGGGATCATTTTTTGACCGACAGCTGTACCTTCACTCTGTTATATATAACAGCCAGAAAAGTAAAAATTATTCAAAAAAATTACAGATATAATAAGATTAACAATAAAACAAACCTTGGGATAAATTTTCCTTGGTAAGATATCTAGTGTTTTTAAATCTAGTGTTAAATTCATTAACGTCAAATCACAGAATATTTTCAAATATGCAATGTTTAATAGGTCATAACTATACATTAAAAAAATCTAATGTTAATGGATATCTTTTAAATTCAAAATTTGAGTCACTAGATCAGTATTTCTTAAATGATATGCCAAAGTGCTCTGATATGCAAGAAGAATTGGCTAAATGCACCATGAATATTATGAAAGTATATTTTAAAAATGAGAAGAAATTAATTTGTACAAAGATTTACTTCATCCATGATAAAGTAATAGCTAGATTAAGAATACAGAGTAGCAGTTATTATAGTACACAACTATTTATAACTTAAAATATATTAATATATTTTAATTTTGTATATGAAGTGCACCAGAAAAGTTTTTCACATTTTACAATATGCTGCAAGCCAAACAAGTTTGAGGACTATTGCAATGGATCATGGAAAATACAAATACAATTCATTTAGGGTACGTTCGTAAAGTCAAACGAGTTAAACACGTTAGTAACAAATCAGTCAAAAAGTAGTAGTCTCACTCAGTGCGCATGCTCTGTGGTGATGACATTTCGAATGAAACTCTAACCAAGTTCATGAAGGAAAGAGTTAGTTTACTTCGTTAAGAAAATGGCACCTGATTATACTGATGTTTCTAAATCTACTCGAGTGTTTAAATTGTGAATTAGAAGATGAAATGATAGAAATAACCGTCCACCTGAAACAATCTAAGAAAAATATTTCGAATAACATTGCACTAGCAACATTCATATCTTCGATTTTAGAAACAGCCATTTAGTTATAAATGAATCAGTTGAAAAGTCTAACAAAATAAGAATAACAACAACGTCATTCTCGTTTAACTCATTCAACTTTATGAACGTACCCTTAATTATATTTAAAAAAACATTTATCTTTATCTTAATTTCTATTAAAGAATTAATTAATTTTGAACAAAAAAAATATATTAGAAAATATCTGTTTTATTGTTTAAATTGAAATAATATTGTATTTAAAATAATTTTTAACTTAATCTAATTTGTATTATTATTATAATTTGTATTAATTTGTATTATTAATAGAAAAATGGTTTAAAATAAAATAAGTTTACAGATTTTCCAAACTGTATGCTGTTCTCTAAAACTCTAAGAAAATTTGGTTGCATTGGTTTAATTATTTGGAGATCCTTTTCTTTCTCCATCTTTTTAATCCATTGATTAGCTTGTCCTTGAGGGTCAATCATTAACGGCCAACGATGAGAATTACTTGAGAACAAAATAAATTAATATAAATTTGAAAAGTTTAATGCTTATTAAAGTATAGTATGAAATATAAATTATTAATAAATAATAATAATTTTATAACACATTTAGATATTTAATATATTTGTTTTTTAAATCAATAAAAACTTAAAACTACATATTTAAATAGATTATGTCTAATATATATCTAAGTGAAATAATAAAGTGATAAATAATATTTGTGTTTTAATAGAAGTGCTTCCACATTTTTTATTTGATATGTCATCAGATGCTAAATACATACAATGCAGAATGCAATACATTATGCATTCAAACTAGAATTTGAATACATAATGGAATAAAGTTAGCAAATAAAACATTTGTAGTAGCAATGAAGCAATTATTAAAGTCTCATCAACAAATTTATTTTTATAATTAATGTTAAAATGTTAAAAAATAAAGAATAAATAAGTAATTTTGTTATCAACGCAATAACAATATAAAATTACTTTATTTAATTTTAATAATAATAATTATAATTAATAATATAAATATATTATTAATATATAAAATTATTTTAAATCATAAAACATAAAACATTAATAGTTGGAAAACATGGTTATTCCTAAAATGCAAAATAATATTTTATTATATAGGCATTATGTAGACCAGTGGTCTGCAACCTTTATGGCCTTACAGACCACTAAACTCACAATTTTGAATCCCACGAACCACTATCATAAATTTTTAAAAATGATACAAAATCTATAGAATAATGATCATAAAAGTTCAATTTTATTATATTAATATAAAATTTGCTTGTTTAATTATAACAAACCAATGCAAGCCTAAAGTTCATTGCTGCTTGTTGGAAATAAGTTTATGGATTGTTATCACTTTTCCATGAAGAACAACAATCACACTCACAATATTGTTCATTATTTATTGATAACAGTCACTTCATATTTAGTTTCAGATTTGAATAAAAATCCCCCCAATGAATAGAAAAAGCAATTAAGCATTTTGCATTTCTTTCATAATACTTCACGTAACCTTCAGTTGATCAATGTCCAAATTTCTCCATGAACCACCCAAAATTTCTCCGACTGGTTGTTGACCACTAATGTAGACGACGTATTGATTATATGGAACACAAAACCTGATATGCAAAGCTTCATCAACATGGTCAATTGCAATTCCTACAAATTAAAAAATAGCCCCTGAAATAGCCTCAATTCAATAATAAAGAAGCACACTTCCTGAATCTGAACATCATCCCAGTTAATGGTGTATATACACAAAGGTATATGTTAAACCAACATCCCACCCATTATATCAATACATCCCTTGCTGCTCGATGATCCTCCCAGATACAAAATGGCAGCTTTTAAAGCACTTATCATAAAAATTTTTGCTGGAACAGCTGGAACTTTTTTTATTTTTATATTTATTCCAGTTAATAAATTTTATTATTAAACATATTTTATTTAGAGATCCTTTAAATGTACACATTCAACTAAACTGTGATCTTTGAATAATTGAAATACTGGTGAATTCATTATATTTGATATTTTAAAAAGTGACCAATTACAGAAATTTTTACGATCTATTATTTTCAGGTTTTTGTTATGTAAAATTTAATATATTGTATTTGACAGATTCAATATGCAGAATTACACTCATTGTTTTGAATTTGTTAAATCTATGAAAACAACTTATAAAACAATTTTCAAATTTTTAACTTTTTGAAAACATATCTTTTTGGTTTTGAAATTTTTTGTGGTTTTTAAAAAGTGAAAATACTGTATTTTTGCACCTATAACTCACAATAGCATATATCACACAGAACATTGATGGAATAACAATAAAACCTTTGCATAATCTGCCCTACTGAATATCTTGCATCTATGGCAGCAGCTGTTGCTTCACAGGCATGAGTTCAAAATTCCAATATAAAATCAGCATATAACCCACATTTCCTTTCAAATTATTTTTTAAAAACATAACCTGTAGGTAATCTAGATGAACATATAGTAATAAGTTAGCAGTGCAATTAAAATCAGAAGAAGAATGCAATAACATTGATAACATTTATATTTTACTTAGACATAAGAGGCGTGTCCAGAAAGTAAGTACCATTTCGTTCTACTGCCAGTGCAGCGGTAGTATCGCAGTTCAGCACCTGCGCACACATGTCTCTGCTGATTGTCAGTCCAGTGATGCCATTACAGCCGGATTGTGTTGTTTTTCCATGTGTTAGTGAGTGTTCAAAATGTTTAAGACGATTGCCGATCCCGCTGACTGTGAAGAGCATTCTATAATACGGTTTTTGAACGCAAAGAATGTTAAGCCAGTTGAAATTCATCATTAACTTCTAGAGATTTATGGTGAAAATGTAATGAGTGATGGAATGGTAAGAAAGTGAGTTAGACAATTCAATGCTGGACGCACCAATGTTCATGACGAAGCATAGACTGGCCAGCCTTCTGTTGTCAATGATAGTTTGGTTGCAAAAGTGAATGAGAAAATTCTTGAAAACAGACGGTTTACAACAGCGTTTCTCAAAGTGGACAATAACGCCCCCTTGTGGGTGATGAGTAATTCTAGGGGGTGCTGGAGGCAGGATATTGAATAGTGACCAAAGGAAAAATTGGGGTCACTGAAAGCCGTTCCCTTTCCTCTGTTAAACTGATAAGAGGAAACATTGCATTTAATGGTTTCCAGATGTTGATAACAATATATAGTAAGGGCACAAAGTGTGAGATTCATAGAAAAATTTTCCTAAGAATATTTCCAATCCTTTCTCACACAAGAGAAAATGGATTAGGGGCATTGGGTATAGCATTATGGAACAAAGGGGGCGGTGGATCAAGAAAGTTTGAAAATCACTGGTTTACAATAAGATTGCTTTGTGATGAGTATCCACAAATTTCAAAAACTGTTTTGCATGAGATTGTCGCAAATTGCTTAAATTATCACAAATTGTGTTCCCAAAATGTCCACAAAATGAAGAAACTTGGAAGTGCTTTGACATTTCTTACCCGATAAAGTGAAGAGGGTAATGATTTCCTAAACAAAATTGTTACCGGTAATGAAAATTAGGTTTGTCTTGTCACTCCAGAATCAAAACAACAGTTGATGGAGTGGAGGCACTCATAGTCCTCCACAAGACACAAATTCAAAACAATGTTGTCAGCACAAAAAATCATGTGCACTGTGTTCTGGGACAGACAGGGCATTCTGCTTGTTGAGTTCCTTCCCAGAGGTGAAACCATCAATGCGGAACAATACTGTGAAACATTGTGAAAACTTTGCTGTGCAATTCAAAATAAAAGGCGTGAAAGTTTCAGTAAAGGCATTGTGTTGCTCCATGACAACGCACATCCCCATACTGCTGGTGTCACTCAAAACCTTATTCAACAATTCGGTTGGGAGCAGTTCAATCACCTGCCATAAAGCCCCAACCTTGCACCTGCAGACGACCATTTATTCTTGAACTTGAAGCGTGATTTTGGAGGGAGGCGCTTTGCAGGCGATGACGACGCAACAATTGATGTTCAGCAGTGGCTGTCTTCACTGGCAGCATCTTTCTTTGAAGAGGGTATAGACAAGTTGGTTTCCCGAATTGACAAATGTCTGAACAATGGTGGTAACTATGTAGAAAAATAGTTTCCAACATGCTCTTTCATGTAAAAATACATTTTGTTTTGAAAAAAGATTTTTTATGCGAGTTTTTCCAAAACGGTACTTACTTTCCGGACACGCCTCATATATTTATCTAGTGCATGAAGGGTCTTTTCAAATTTATGATTTTACAATATCATTTAACATTTAACTGATTGAAAATGATAAATTGGTCACATAATCACTATTGTAAGTAACTTATAAATTACACTGTAGAAATTTATAACATACGTGATGATAATTCCATTTTCTATAGAAAAGTTATCAGTAGGAAGTCCATCAATTATCCATTTCCTTATTGTAACTGGCTCTCCAAGAGTTTCTATTAGAGAAAATTCTTTTGTACATACAATTCCATGTTGTAATGCAGCTTCAATCCATGCAGAAATCTGTTTCTTTTTAAAATTTTTATCATATTTTACTACAGTTTATATTAATAACTTAAATTAATAACAACAAAACAGAAATATAATTGTAAAATATAACATATAAAGAGAACATAACTAAATTTTCTTTTATTAAAAATATTGTAAAATTATTAACCTTGGTTAAAATTAATATTTTGCTTCATAAATTACTAAATATAAATTTATTTACTTGTCGAAAAGACGCTGTAAATGCTCCCAAATATGCTACGACAGCTGCAGTTATAAGAGTATCGCCAACTAAATTATTGTAACGTTGTCCAAGAACTTTCGCAGCATTCTTCCATCGAGTTTTTTCTCCACCTAGACCACCAATTAACTGTTCCGCTCTCTGTAGTTTCAATGTACATGTTTCAAGATCATTTTCCACAGCTGTAAAATAAATTATACATAATGCAAAAAAAATAGCAATAAATTATTCTGAAATTTAATGTAAATAAATAAATAATGATATTTTTATATTTTCTTTAAGATTAGTGATTATCAAAACTATGTCCTTGATGAATTTTTCCAAGTAATAAAATGCTTAATCTAGCGATAATTAATTTTTCATTTGGATGGATTAATATCTTTAAATAAAACATGAAAAATTCTCTCCAAAACCAAACTTATAGTAGTTTCACTTTAGAGCAGCACCAGGTATCAATGAATCATTTTGAAATTTTTGAACAGATGAGTGAAGTGAGTGCAGATTGAGCAAGTGAGGGGGGAGTGAAGCAAGCAGAGGGTTGAGCAACGTGAGCAGGGGTGAAAGGGTTGGGTTACCTACCCCACAGGAGGAAATTAAAATATAGAAATAAAATACAGTAGAGTGTCAATTTTCCCAGCAAATTTAAATTTTCGCCAGTGCTGTGGTGCTTCAATCTTTCGCTATATCTTGGGCTACTCAAATATTTTACGTTTTTGATACTAAATTAACATCTGAAGTATAATTTTTTATTATTTATATTTTTCAATATATTTATTTTGTTTGTACAAAATAAAAAAATAATTTTTAACGATACAATAGTCTTTGTTAGGCTTAACATCGACGAAAATTCAACGCGAAGCGACACGCAACGGAGAAAAATTTCGACATCGGATACGTTAAACTATTTTTTCGTACGTAAATCAGTTATCCGAAATATCAGTTATCCGGACAACCCCAGTCCCCAATTGATTCGGAAAATCGACGCTCTACTGTATAGAGTAATCTAAATTATAGTTAGTATATTTGATGTTAACATAGTTTTATCAAATTAAATCAGAAATAAATGATGTAAATTAGCATTTACTACTACTCATTCAATAGTAATTAACATTTTTCTCCATAACCCAGTGGCAGTGAGTAAATCTAGATGTGAGAAGAAGCAAGTGGGTGGCAGGGGGCACTGGAGACAGGGTACTGAACAGTGACCGTAGGCAAAGATTGGGGTCACCAACAGCATTTCCCTTTCCTCTGTTAAACGGGTAAGAAAAAACATTGCATTTAATAGCTTTCAGATGTTGAGAACAATGCATGGTAAGGACATTCTTTACAAAGATAAGTAGAGAGCTGTCTGTTTTTTTAGCTACCAACACAAAGTGTGAGATTCACAGAAAAGTTTTCCTAAGAATACTTCCAAGCCTTTCTCATGCAAGAGAAAATGGGTTAGGGGCATTGGGTATAACTTTATGGAATAAAGAGGGTAGTAGATCAAAAAAGTTTAGGAATCACTGCCAAAATCTATAATATAATATACTAATCTAAGCTAACTGAAAAAAACTTAAAATGAAATATACTAAGAAATTATATTTAATTAATTTACCCATTTTTTTCAGTTTATTTCCTTCTAAATATTCCTGTAATTTCATTAATTTATCTTGCACTTCTTTTAACTCAGCATGCTTTTCTTTTAATTCATTTTCTGCTATTGATAATTCAGTTTGAGCTTTAGCAAGAGCTTCTTTTTTTGGAGCAACAATTTTAGCAACTCTAAAATATTTTAATTTAAAATATTAACAGTTTGAAATCACAAAAATAGTTAATAATTTAAATAAAATCTAAATTATGAAAAGAAAAAATTTATTAGAAGCTTCAATCTAATATGAAGTGCATAAATTTATATAAAATACCACAGCTACATAAATAATTTTCTAAAAAAAATGTTTCATTTCATTATTATATTTGATCTAACACTTTGAACATGATGATTTATTATGCTTAAAGTGTTAGATCATATGTAACTACATTATCATTTTCTTTTGCATAAGAGATTATATAATTGACTATGATGCTAAATCAACTAATTACACAAAAATTTAAAGATCTATGAACTAACAACTACAAATTATAATCTGTACTGTACATTTACGTATTTTATTTATAAGAAATAATTTGGTAATAAATTGATAATTTTTTCTGAATTAAATGATACAAAACTATATTTTGCTAATTTAACAAAACGTTAAAATTACTTTTCGTATTTTTCCATTGCAATAACCCATTTACAAAGACCTTCTGCAGCAGTTGAAGCTAATTTTACTTTTCCAGGATCAAAATCTGGATTATTAATATATTTTTCTCTGATGATTTTAATTGCTTTTGCTGGAATTTTATCCTACAATAAAAATGAAAAATTCTTACGAGAATTATAAATTCAATATATAAATTAATATGCTATTGAGTGTCAACTATGAAATGCCTGATTTATTAAACAGACTTTAACGATACATTGTATACAAACAGAACAACACATTTGATCAAGAATATAATTGCCTCAATTTCTATAACTTTCTCCCATCTCATTACAAACTTCTGGATTCATTGCAGAAGTGAAGCTGCAATCATTCTCTTTGAATGTGGTTTCATTTGGAAAGCTGTTGTGGAATCTAAATGTCTACTCTTGAGACTGCCAATTTCTTGCAGGTGAACATTGCCTCCTGAGATCACTTCAAAATGTTTGTATAACATCTTGTCTTGGGGTAGATTCCACAAGAGTTTCTAAGGTGTACATTGGGGAAGGACACTGAATCATAAAATAAAATAACTATGTAACCAGATAGGAAAATGTAACATTCCTGTCTCAATGTAGTTGTTTCCATTATATGTATACAAAGTAAGGTGCACTGAGAAATGAACATTTCATAGTTGACAACACAATCTATACTATATGTATTTAAAAAACAATTCAGATTTAAAAACTATAATTTAGTAAAATTTAAATTTTTAAAAAATATACCATATCAAATTTAAAAATAGTAATATTAATTCAATATCAATATTTAACTTTTAACAGAATCTGTATTGTAGTGCTTGTTCGTTAATCCTTTTAAAATAATTCCTTTTCTTAAGAAACACCAAGAGGTGATGATGTTTATTACAAAGGATATGAAGCAATTGTTAAATTATTGCTTTTGTCTCACATGCAATCCATCATCCAAAATTTTGCCAACCTTCAAGCTATGTTCTCAATCAGTCAAAAGAATGCATGTCAACCATGCATGCTTGATAATGTGGCCTTCTGCCTTTATTATTTTATATCTTTATTAGGGAGCTTAGCCCCATGAGTTTTACCCTCTTCTTCAAAAATTTTGTGACAATTCATTGATTCGTGGTGATGCCTTTTTCATTATTTTTTTCTTGAAGGAAAAATGTCCTTGACAATTTTAAGATAATTATATTGTGTGACAATTGCTCATCATTTCTGTATATAAAATTAAATTGTTGGTTCAAAGTCTTTGTTTATAAGCTTCTAGAATGTTCCATTTCACACTATTGCCTGGAGGGACAATAAACCCAGTGGAGGAGCAGGAGAGGGCATATATTGACTCAGGCCTGTCTTTGGTACGTGTGAGGCCCTGGGCCAAGAAAAGCTTTGAGGCCCCTTAAGGAATTCATAATGGAGGGTTAATATTTATAAATTTTTTCAATTAGCTTTCTCTGCTAAACATATTGTTATATTTATGTTTAATAAAATTTATCAAACATATTTTTTGATTGTTTACTGTTTATAATAATTTTATTGCTTGTTACTCTATTCAATTTTGCATATTTTCAAGGTCTTGAATGTTAGGCAGCCCATGCCCAGCCTAGTAGGCCCACACTTAAAGACAGGCCTGTATTGACTCAGGCCTGTCTTTAAGTGTCTTTAAGTGCCGACTCTCTCTTTTATTTTTCAGTGCCGTTACAGGAAGCACATGAAGGTGACCAGTGACAATAGGACTGTGCAAAGGAAGATGTTCAGATGGTATTCAAATATTACAATGCTTTAGGTTCCTGTTACACACAGACATTTTGTCTTTTCATGACAATTATGTATTAGTCTAATCCATGAATTTTCTTATGTGACAATCCTACCATCAGTAGACAATCGAAAATACAAGGGAGAGGAACTCATGTACTAGCACTTCCTCTTCCTTGTACTTTTAATTGTCTACTGATGGTAGGATTGTCACGTGAGAAAATATGCTCAAGTTCCTCAAATTTTCGTGTTGCATATTTTGATTGAAGCAAAGTTCATTGACTCTGTTTCAATCAACAAGATGACCAGGAGAAAACAGAAATTATGCAACATGAAAATTTGAGGAACTTCTCACATACTAGTACTTCCTCTCCCTTGTATTTTTTGAGGTTGCTAAATTCAAAGAAATTTACCTGACAATAAAAAATTTAAGGATTTTCTTCAACAAGTATCAGGTACCAGTAAAACAGTGAAATGAAATTATATTATTTATAAAAATAGAACTATATTTTTTTACAAAGACAACTGTCTGTATTAATACAGAGGATGAATTACGGCTTGCGATTTCCAATACAGATCCAAAAATAGATGTAATCATGAGCTCTTTGCAAGTGCATACATCACATTGAATTCTTATGATGTAAAGTTTTTTAAAAGTATTTTTCATGAAATAAATATTTATACCCATATGCATAAATAAAACCATTGTTTCATAAAATTATGTTTTATTTGGATCCCTAATAAGGCAAAAACATAAGTGCAAATCCCAGAAAGAATTTCACTTTGACTACATTGATGATTAAAAAAAATCTACTGTCTATCCAGGGGTTGTGACAAAATTTTACACAAAATGGGGAGGGGTCAGAAATGAAAATAGTTTGTGCACCACTGTTGTAAATTTTAAGTGTGAGGAAAAGGAAAAACAAGGTTAACTTGAATTGGTTAAGATTACCTTCCTGACAAAGTGCAGATGTTTTAAACAAAATAAATTTTTAAATTTCAGTGTTTGAAAAAGGAAAGGAAAAAGAAAGAGCAGTATTAAAAAGTAGACAATGAAAAAGAAAAACTCTCTCAATGTACCGTACCTTTCACCTATTCTTCTTAATTAATCAATTTCCTTATTCTTTCTTTCTGTACAATCTTAATTTATATTAGATAGCAATATAAGTTAGATTTAAATTAGTTCATTAATTTTTTTGTAAATAGACCGCAGACATAACTACACGAATAAACTGTTATGTTACATCTATGTATCCAATCATAATAGTACATACAAGCATAGCTTTTAATAGTTTAGTAAATTCAAAAAATTAAATTTCTCTGTCTTCTTAAAAATTTTGTATTTTTAAAATTATCATAAACCTTACTTCTAACGATTTAATGTGTAAGAATTGTTAATTAATTTAACTTCGATCATTTTTTTATTAATCTGAATAATTTTAGCACTAAAAGTGTAAATTTTTTAAGTCATTTAAATGTTAAAATACAAAAGAACAGTTTAATTTCCAAATAGCAATTTATAAATTAAAGTGAAAGATTTTTAAAGAATAATTTAGTCTATACAANAGTAAAATCATTATAAATATAAGAATATAAACATCAGAGAGATTCATACCAACTTGTGTTGGATCCTTAATTCGATCAGGTTTAACACCTTTCAAAATACATATGGCTTCCATTACAAGTTTTACGCCATGTGGTGGACTTTTCATTGTTTTTACTTCTGCTATATCCTGATTAAAAAAATTATTAATTGCACAAAATATTGTCTTTTTATATTTTAAAAGAACATAATGTACTTCTAAAATAATATATAAATTCTTGAAATCATAAAATATTCTGACACATCTGAATTATTACTATTATTTTAACAACAAAAAAATTAAAATAAACAAAAATAAAAAAGTATATTAGAAAGAACAAGTGTTAGTTGAAGTTGGAACTGAAAGAGATGATGTCAAAATATCGTAAATTCAGATGAAAATTTCTAGATTTTAATCTGAATTCAAATATACAATTTGTATTAGTTTGCCACTTTTTTTGTCTAATACTGCATGTTTGTTTAATCAGTTATTTTCATCAAAAGGATTTTCTTTTCCTGTTATTTAGGGGAAAGGAAATCACTTATCCTTACACATTTCCTAATATATTCAAAATAAATAGAAATAAATGAATAATAAAATAAAATAATGTAATTATTAAAGTAGTTTTAATTATAGATAATGCACAAAGACTGAAGTAGATTAATATATTTAATTAATGTATAAAAATGGTCAGAACAAGTAACATCTGTTTAGTTAATTTATACATTATTGATAATCTATAAATTAATAATGTATAAAATGTAAAGGTTTATATTAATACAAAACGACTTCTAATCTTAACACTGCATTGAGTAATAACAATCCATAAGACCTTTTTATAACAGTGTTGGTAACAGTCTTCACTAACGTTTTCGACCTTCACCTAGGTCTTCTTCAGGTGGTGACTAAATAGTATCGCCTGTTGACCATTGTAATGACAATGCCCAAGATGTAAATAATGCGCATATCGCTTGTCCCAGTTCAAATTCTTTGAATAAGTATCACCACGCCTGCGCAATCGTCTTTCCGTCTTTAAAGTTGATGCAGGTGCCCCCAATGTTGGCTTTACAAATCTCCCAAGCCTCCAGGTGACAGATATGATCAATACAAAATGCCTGTCTGATTACTTTGGTGTTATGGAAGTCCGCCCGACTTTCAGGGTCGGTAACGTAGGCCGACAAGGCGGTGGTGTGCCTGTTGTTTTTAATATCCAATTGATGCTCACGTAATCGTTTTTGTGTTGAGCGGATGGTGGAGCCAATGTAAACTAAGTCTCTATGGAATCTATTGTCCGTGATGGGAATGGAGTATACCCCTGGGGCCCTGTTGAGATCTATCGCGTCCTTGGTGTCATCGTTCCAATGGTCAAGAGGAGACACCATTTAGTCACCACCTGAAGAAGACCTCGGTGGAGGTTGAAAACGTTAGTGAAGATTGTTACCAACACTGTTATAAAAAGGTTTTGTGGATTGTTATTATATTAATATGTATTATTACATTACTATATTTTATATTAAGTTAACATTTAAGTTTATTAAATATTTACAGAGGCATACCCAGAATCTGAACCAGAGAGGGACAACTTGTATTAGTTTCAAGGAAGTGGGGAGGGAGAGTAAGATTTCACAACAGATGACTCTAGTCTAGTCACAATATTCATTATTCAAACTGATACTAAATTGATATGTCTTTGCTGTGTGTCAATTACTGCACTTTAATTTTTATTCTAGAGATGGGCAGCTGTCCCTCTCTGGGTACACTTTTGAATATTTATATAAATTTATTAACAGTTATCTGTTATGACAGGCAATTGTAGATCCTTAATTCTTAGTAAATTTGAAATAATAAATTACAGTTGTCTTCTTAATTGACTATTTTTCACATTTTATCATTTGTTAGAAAATATAGTGTTAAAACTTTAGGAAATCAAAATTATTTATTAACAAGTAAAACGGCAAAACCGTATTTGGGACAAGACTATGTCTCGGAGACAGAATCACTTTGATGCTCAAAGCAGGTCTCGTTCTCATTCTCCTATCTTCTTTGATATCGCTGTTTTTGGGCGTGATTGTTCAAACTTTGCCGGCCACAACCACAAGATCATCCACGATACATCTTTGATGAAATTAATTTATCTAATTTCAAAATCTCTCTCTGTTGCGTGTCAGCCTGGGTTGAATTTTTGTCGATGTGTAACGAAAAGTTTCCATTTTTGAAAAAAAATCGTGGCTATTGTATCGTCCGAAATTATTTTTTTATTTTGCACAAACAATATACAGTTTAACCCGATTATAATGTCATCGAATGTAACAACAATCCTCATATAACATCAAATTTTTATTGGTCCTATGATTTTACTATACTAGATAATGTTAAAAAAAAACCCACTTGTAACGACATAAAACTGTTTTAATGTCATATTTGAAGCACTCCCAAATTTAAAAAAATTAGATTACAAATTTTATTTAACATAGAAGAAACTACGTGTTCAGTCCTAAGGTCAGAGTTTACTTTTTAGAATGACTGTGAGTGGTACTCTCTCCTACCTGACTTCGGTGGGGTGAGGTGGCTGTTTGCCTGTTTGTAGAAGAGGGTTGCCATTTTGGATTTTATTTTGACTCGATTCTCGGTCCCCTGACTACCTATGAGTCTGGATTTTTTTATGCGCAAATGATTTGGGCACCTAATACTCTGTGCCAAATATCAACTCTCGACATGTACTCCTTCATATCTCTATGCTGGTAAGAACGAGTGGCAGTACGATTTTATAAACAAGACATAGTCTTGTCAATAACACAAAGTTACATATTTTTTCAAAAAATGAAATGAAATTCTTAAACAAAAACTGTTAAATATAATTGTATTAAATATAGTAAAATTTCAAAATGGATGACAAATTTTTTTGTATTAAATAAAAGTCCTGGCACATTACAAAAAATCAGTACAAATTAATAGCAGAAAGAAACATTAACATGTATCATACCAATAGAAGAGAAATTCTCCAAGTTTTATTCATATCTGAAGTATTAGTTCATTAATACATTTCCATTCACATCAGCTGCAATACTTAACAATTGATTTTTAAAATGGCAATGATTATACAAACACTGAATCTGTAATGTACCTCCATAAAACAAATTTTACATGATATTAGGTCATATGATTATAATGATCAACAAACTAGTATATGATAATTGGCTACTATGCATTCAATCCTGTTGTGGGAAATATTGAGACAGCCACAGATGGAATCGACAACAGTGTAATAGAGTACCTATCTTGCTGAAGTTATCACTGTCATAATCAAGTTGCTATATTAAAAATCCTCCATTATATCAAGTAGGACATACCATTGATAAGTGATTTTGTGAAGAAGAATAGCCTTTACCTTTTGAAACACACCATAGAAAGTATTCAAGTTTGACGAATGATGAATTTATTCAATTGTGGAGTACAATTTTTCAATGCGGCATATGTCTGTTTATCTTCTTGTGAAGAAAAACTATAGCATTGTTGCTGAAAATCACTTCTCTAGCAAAACCATCTTCCAAATACTGTTGTAGAGCTGCAAATAATGAGTCTTCTCAATGGCATAACAGAAAACTTTATGGCCCCTTGCAAATTTTTTGAAGTGCCTACATTTTCTGTTGTAGATCCATGAGCAAATCTCAATATTAGTGTGATATTAATAACAAAAACTTTATTTTAAATTCAAATAAATTATTTACTGTTATTTTTTTAAATTTCCTTTTCATAAATCTATATAGTCAAGTTATATTAATTAACTTAATGTAACTTATATATCTATAAAAATCATTAGAAAATTTTTTCTCTATTTCTGTTAAAACCATTGTGGGCAAATGTGTATTTCCTTTTAATAGTTGATGAATACAGTTTCTTCTGGGACTTAGTTATTATGAAGACAAGAGAAAATCATTTGTAGTAACTATTCTGTAGGCATGTTTTTGTATATCAACCAGTTTTTGTTTAACTGAGATGATTTCTGTTACAGCATTTTCAAGTCTTAATATCTTCAGGTTTTGTCAACTTTAATACAAATAACTTGAGTCACTTAGCATCTCAGTCAAAGAAATTAATAGGTTATTGATAACACTATGTGCTAACAGATAAACAAAGCCTTTCTTCAGAGAATATAATCAGAAGTGATAATTTAATATATAACCAAACAGTCAGCATTTGGCTAGATACATGAAAATATACTTATCTATCTGTAAAATAATTTTAGATTAAGGTTTGCTATTGTAATGAAATATACTGTAGGGAGGTTCTTGATAGTTTAGAGCAGGCCTGGCCAACCCAAATTGTTTCACAGGCCACTTTGATCACGCGTAACATTATGGTGGGCCACAATTTAGGCAAACATGTTTTTAAAAAATAAAACAAATACAAAATGAATAAGATTTTATTGTTATATCAAGAGTTTGTACTAGCACTTGCACATTATAATGACACATACAAATTTTCATTTATTTAATTGTTTTGGTATACACATAATGGAAAACAAAAGTTTAATAGATATATAATATTGATTAGTGGGCCACACAATTTAACGTGATGGGCCTCATGTGGCCTGCAGGTTGGCCAGACCTGGTTTAGAGTAATATTAATAACAAAAACTTTAATTTACTAATATTTAACTTAAACCCCATGCAGGTAAGAAGGAAAATGTATCCAATAAAATAAACATGCTCTGTGACCAATGAAAGAACAAAAAGTTTATTTTTTCACAGTTCTTAAGTTCAGTTCAAGATACACTATTGCGAACCAAGGGAGTAGAGTGCTGAGCTTGTCCCCACTTATCAGCTTCTTTGTCAGGGATGGTCGATGTGGTAACCGAGTAGGAGGGTGAGCGAGGTCGTGACAAGGTGTCGGTCGTACTTAAGGATGACACATATTTAGATATAAGAATAACATATTTAATTAACTATAAAGCTATATAAAGCGAAAGGCTACACAAATGGGAATAATCAAAAATACTTCTAGGTCGCGACAGTGATAGACGATCGTCAATAAATTGTCTAAATTCTGGGCCTTTATAGGTCCCAATATCTTTTAAGTTAAACTAACCTAAATCTAGTCTATAACTGATAGAGAGACCCGAGAGAGAGAGAGAGGGTTAAAATTTTCCACTGTATTACCTCCTTAGTCCTCGATCTCATTGTATGGTGGTGATAACATTTTTGGATCAGTGGAGTTGACCATTTGAGATTATGGCGAGGTGGCGATGGACAGAATGATGTATGGGTCTGTTGATGTCCACAGTTGATGTCTGCAGGGGATGTCCACTGTTGATGTCCGCTGGGAGGACTGTGTCCAAGCCCTTTTTATACACGTCCCGGAGGGTGACTAATATTAAGTCTGATGTAATCCCATCTAAGGTTGACTTGTGTCCGGGATTTGTTTATATTAATTGTCAGAAATCGAAACATTTCTTTAGATTTATTACTTCTTCTATCCAGTATTGTCACTCTTTCTACCTCATAAATTTGATAACAGCTGTCAAAACAACTGAATTAATTGCTGAATGTGACTAAGGTCAGAGTTTGTCTTGCAACCTTAGTGATAATTGTTCATTATATGGTCATCTTGATCGGTTTTATCATTCACAAAATCTTATGAAATGGGAAGTGTGAGGGTTTTGTTTTTTCTTTCCCATCTGTAAGTTTAAAAGGTCACTTATCGAAGTGATGCAAAAATTGAAGGAAGAAGGGAAATAATGATGAGGAAAAAAGTATTGAAACTTGTGAATTTTAATTCACAAAAGAGCTTGAATCCTCACACTATTATCATAATAATATCTTAATTCTCTGTCAACTTTTCCCGCACCCACTCTTCATGACACACACACACACACACAATCTGAGAACAAAGAGAGGAAATTCACACTTTGCTATACTTCAGGACCCACTTTCACCATGTCTTTTCTTCCTGCTCGCCAAACCAAAAGTGCTCTTTCTGTCCTACAGACCTGCACAAAAATTCTTCTATATCCAGGTTCCTCCAACGTCATTGAGCCTTCGGGCTTGGATTCTACTGTTCAACCATCCCAACCACGATAAGCCCATATGGATAGACAAATGGTCAATGATGGACTAAACCATGTGGTCTTAAGACCACAGTACAAAATAAATATTCTTCACAGAAGTTTTTGTATGCTACATCAACAACTTGAAAATTTCTACTAGTTGTTAGCCCCAAACGTTACAGAGTCTCCTCCAGTGTAGGGTCTGCAAGAGTGATTGTAACAGCCCTGGGTCTTCTTCTTCATTGATTGGAATCTGTAGTAACTTTAGTTTGTATGATGTTAATTAAGAATCCTCCATAAAATGGTTTGCAGAACATCTAGTTCTTCATTACTTAATTACTATATTTATTAGGGTCTGTTAATATACATCTCGAACTTACACCAGCTTCTCTTTTGAAAAATCTAATCAATCTAGAAATTTTGCAGTGCAAAGACACCTGGCATGGTTAAAAATTGAAGAAACAGGGTTTTCCACATCACTGTTTTATGTTATCTCTCACTATTGGGTTCTTTCCAAACTTTGTCTGAGAACATCCCTACCATGATTGACTATATTCAGGTATAACAGAAAATTTCTTTTCTACTCATGTTACTTCCATTTCATTCAATCTACATCATGACAAATCTATATTCTTCAATGAAAATAAATAACAACAACATATATAAACAAGTATGGAAATTTCTCTTTCTACTAGTATCATGTCATCATCTTTGTATCTTTCAAATGTACAGATTTTTTATAAAACTGTAAAAGATTTATGAATAACTCTGAATATAACTATCAATATTAAATAACAACAATAATAATACATACAGCAGGAGTAAGGGTGTTTAAAGCTGCAATAGCAGCATTTAAGATTGGCATAGCTTCAGCTAAATCAGCATCACACTCTTCTTTGATTGAAGCTGCTTTTTTAGCTTTTTCATTTGCAAGTAATTGGTCTTCCTTAACTCTTTCTTCAACTTTTTCAACTTCAGCTGACTCAGCATTTATTTGAGTCATGATGTTTTCTACATTTTGATTTGCTTCAAGTAATTTGGGTTGTAATTCTATTTGGTATTTCTGCATATCTGAAACTTGTCCAGCTGCATGTGCTAATTGTTCTAATCCAACTTCATAACGTTGCTTCATTTTCAAAATATCTCTAAAAAATAAAAACATTTAATCAACTACTCAAAACTTGGTATACTTAATAAAACAAATTAAACCAATCTCCAGCACAATTTTACACAAAAGCAAATGTTTTTGACCATGTTAAATGGGCATCATCAGGCTAACTGACCTTTGCAGTTCACACGCAGCTCTTAAAACAAGGGGATTGCCATCAATATGTTAAAAAAGGGTGATGTAAGAGAAAGAGGAGGAGGAGAGAGGGTTGTAAAATTAAAGTTTGTAGATTGACTTCCACACAGGAGAAGGAATCTACATCACAAAAGTTTATAACAACAATTTTTTCTTGCAGCTGTGTGTATGGTCAAAACGTACCTCTATGTCAAAATCAGAAACAAAAGTTGTTAATGCAGTGTTAGTCAGCCCTTTCATAATGGAAGTCTGATGTTCATTGAGGCAGGTATTTAAAGGTCACCCTGTAGATATCTGGATAGTATTTAGCATTGTGGAGGAGGGTGAAAACTGAGAGACTTCTTCTAAAAGCTATACAAAAGTTATTATTTCTGGCAATTTTCTTGTACGGGTTGGCAAATCTTCTGTCATATGTAACAGCATTATATATGGTGTCATTGGGAGTGGTTGTTGGGTGTGACAAAGGTGATAGAGGAAAGATCATAAATTAGATCTTTGATGGTGTTAGGAGAATAGCTATGTAGTCTGGCAAACCAGGCAATAGTTTGGGGCTCCTTATTCATTTCTTGAGTGTCAGACAAATAAATGAAAACTTGACAAACTAAAGGACTGAAGTTGGCCTTCTTGAAGATAAAAGGGTTATGGGAAGGGGCAGGATGAAGATCGGGTGGTGTGTAGGCTTCCTGTAGACTTTAGTTGAGATGCATTTATTGGATAAGGTAAGCTGGAGATCAAGGAAATGAACTTCTTGATCACCTGTCCTGTTCCAGGTGGAGAGAGAGGCTGTAGTGGTTGATGTTAATTTTATGCAAGAAATCTTGAATACAGGATTTTGCTGTCACAAGATAAGAATGTCGTCCTTGTAACATGCATATAGGAGAATGTGGTGGTCAAAGACAAAAAGGACAGAGGTCTCAAGTTGCTGAATGACCAGCTCACAAAGGATTCCTAAGAGCAAACTACAAGGTTATCATGCCCCACCTTGCAGAAAAGTTGTGCCCTCAAAAGCAAAGAAAGAAGTATGACATAAAGAGATCAGCATGCTCTAGGATGTTAAGGTGATGCTTAGCTGAATCTTGAATGTCACTAAGAAGGAAGTTATGCAGAAACCAAAAGCAGGGTTCATTGTGGATTAAAGGATAAAGAGACTGGAAGTAACAAACTGTAAAGTATATTGGGCCATGGAATGTGAAGTCCTTGACACATTCAATTAACTCCAGGGCACTGGTGATGGTGTATTGGTATGTAGAAAGGAGACCTAAGTAACTGTTGACTGTCCTTTTGAAGCATATGGTTGGTGATGAAGATTTATCCACGATTGGTCAAATTTACAGTATGTGCCAGGCTTATGCATCTTTGCAAATGCAATGATATGAAGTGTGGCAGGGGCAGTGACTATAGCATTATGCAGATAAAGGAGGCCCGTCAGTGAGGTGTTGGAAAATTGAAGGACTATGGATTGGAGCTTATGGAAGAAGTTGTTGGGGGCTATGGAACAGTGGGTGTTCTGTTTATATATTCCTGGATGCCATTACAATAAGTAGGCCTATATACCAGGACAATGTCCTTAGACTTATTAGCTTTAAGGGCAATAATATATCTAGAACAGTTAGAAATTTACAGTCACAAAAAAAATGTTGCTATAAATTTTCATGATGTAGATTCCTTTCCCCTACAACCCTCTCCCCTCCTTTTATCTCTCTTATGCCACCCTTCTTAACACATGGATGACAATCCCATTGTTTTAACAGCTGCATGTGAACTGCAAAGGTCAGTTAGCCTGACAATGTCCATTTAACATGGTTGAAAACATTTGCTTTTGTGTAAAATTGTGATTGAGATTGATTTCATTCACTTTGTTTAAAAATATTTCATATTTTAAAATATTATTTTCTTATACACATAGAAAGAACATTGTAAACTTTAGCAATTGTTCTTTCAAATAAGTTACTACATTTACATAAATTCTTGGAGAAATTTAGATTAATAAGCCATCAAACCAAAAAGATTAACAATTCTACAAAGGATTGAAAAATATCATTTGCATTTATATGACGAAATATATAAATAAAATGAATAGTCTATAGAAATAAATATTACAGATGAAAAAACTAAACATTTGCACAGTTTTGATAGTCATATTTGATATTTAAAAATAAATAAATTTCAAAATATACTATTGTAGATCTTGCTTGGACTCCATAAATATAAATTCATGTCATTATAGCAACAGTATTCCAAATGTAAAGCAATTGTTTATTGTGACATCATCATAATGTCAGACTGCAATATTTAATCATATTTTTTTTTTAATTTATTTAATTTAAAATATATGCTCTCCACCTCAAATTAGTGGTGTCCTGCCCCTGTATATAATACTTTTCTTGTTAGCAACAGTCATGTCATCATCTATCTAACTTCTTACAGGGAAAAATTTTTGAATTGAAATAACATGACTTCCAGTTTGCATTGGAAGTTTGTATATAATTAATTGGGGCCTCCTGCTTTAATCTTTCCTTATCTGGTCTTCATTGTTAATCATGAAAAATTTCTTTTAATGCAAGATTTTGTATTGATTATTATTTATTATACCACTAATACATTTCTGATACCAATTTTCATTATTTTTGAATATGTTTTACAAGATTGTAAACGTTAATGGAATGTTTTCAGTTCTTATCAAATACTCAGGAAACAAATTCATCAAAAATAATAAACAATATTCTACCCTAGCTACTTTAAAAATGCCAAAATTGATGTGTAAAATTGAATCTAATTTAAAAAACATTCTCCACAGGCTACAACAAAGTCAAGAGCATAGTGTCATGCTATCTAATTACAATAAATTTTTTTCTTTATTACAATAGTTAATGGAATTTATTCCTCAGTTTTGAATTTATATAAATCTTTTATTAGTTTTAATAATAAGTATATGCTTCCTCAGAATATAAAAAACAGATATTTCAAAGTTTTTACTACTGATTAACAAATTTATTTCTATTAGAAGGAAGGTTTTATATACAATTATCAGCATATAACATTTTACTTTGAACAGTAGTTAAAAAGTGCTCAGAACACTTGATAAAATAAATGTTTTTTCTAAAAGTAATATCTTTAATGTATTTATAATTAAGGGGGAAAAAATATTCTTTTATTTTTATCAAAAAAAATCTTTTATGGATGACAAAATAAAAATATGTTATTAATCAAAAATTTGTTCTAATGGGTCACGTCACGTTTGTTCAGTCAAGTACTGAGCAACTTTTTTCCAGAATTTGTGCTCGAATATTGAGATACCATCATATTTCATTCATCATTTTACAAATAATTACTTACCTACAGTTAAAAAAAAAAAAATTAACAACACTTACCTAAAAATGTTTAAATAAACTTTACTAAATATGAAGATTAATCTGTACAAAGAAAACACAGTGACAGACTGAAAGCAATGACAACACACCTGGTTGATAGAAAAGTTAGTGCGATTTTTTTCTTCCTTGTGTTATCAGTTTTCATTAAAGTAAACCTGACAAAAAACATAAAATAATTTGAAAATTTCAATATTCTAGAATCCATGGGCAAATTTGAGACAACATGCATGCTTACTTGAATAAAAAATATCAAATAATGAAGTTTACACTTAAAAATTGGAAAATTTTGTATGGAGGATTTCCAATTACTCAATTTATATGAGTATTTTATTTTGTTTTGTATTTGNCGAAGCTGCTGGCGCGTTTTTTTACTCACTTCAAATACAGGTAAAGAACGTATCCTGTCAAATAACTTTACGTTAAAATTTTACTGTTTGTGCTGTGTGTTAACATTATAATTGTTGGAAAATCTATCAACATAATTAATATGCAACGCTCGCCAATTAAAAGAGGAAGACCACCACTTCAAAAGTCAAAATCAACTAGTAGAAAGGAATCTGCTTCGACCACTAATTCCAGGTTAATTACTGACTACAATTTACCCGTCGAAAGTACTTCTTTTGAAGCATCCTCTGCAAACGCAGGTTTGAACCCTGAAACTACACTTTTAAGTTCACAACTATCAGATGAGCCATTTGATTTTTTATCTTCTTCACCAGGAAAAAATTCATCTGATATATCAAGTATCACATTATGGAATAAAATTTCTGAATTAATTAACGTCTCTAATACGAGAATATTAAATCAAATGACTATTATCAAAGAAGATCTGAACCAGATTCGTAATAGTATCCAAGAAACTAAAGACCAGAATCAAAAAATGAATAGCCAAATAATTAATCTTGAACAACAAATTGCTAATTTGAAAATAGAAAATGAAAGTATGCAATATCGAATGGACAATATGGTTAATGTGCAACATCACAATAATATAATGTTATATAGATATCCCAGTAAAACTAGTCCTTCCAAGCTAGAAGTATTTAATCTTATTAAAGAATCATTAGAATTACATGAAGTTACAATGGATGACTTAATAGCGATTATTCCAATAACTAAATCACAGTATCCAACAATTAAATTAATTATTAAAAATACTCAAATAAGAGATTACATATATTCGAGATTTATAAAAATGAAACAGCAGAATCTATCGAACGTATGGAAAGAAACTCAAATTTCACAGGACCTTATAAAAAGATCTAGATTAAGACGTAAAAAATTAATTCCTTTTTTAAACGAGTTAAGGAAAGCAGGTAAATATCCAAAACTCCGAGGTGATACTATATTGTTGGGCAATTATTCTTTGACGTATAGCTATGTGTTGGAAGGGCTGGTATACTTGGATTCTTTTACCCCGTATTTTACTTCTGAGAATACTCCGCAATGACTTATGATCAATTTAAACACTTCTATTCAAGACCTACGTTTTGTGGAGACTCAATTATTAAGTCCCTTGCCTGCTGCACATAATAATAATGAAAGTTTATACGATATTACGTTTAATCAAAAAGACTCCCATTTATAATTAATTGGAATTCCCAAGGTCTTAAGTAATGTCAAACAGAATAAAATGGGTCATGACCTTTTAAAATTAATGACTCAAGATCAACTATATATTTTTTAATAGCAGAATTGAAAAGGTCTATTTTTCTGCATTCACTTGTGTATTCACTTCGGGAAGTTCTACAATCGATCTGTTTATATGTTTAGAATTTTTTGGTAGATTTATGTTTGGAAATTCAAGTTCTAAATTGTGACTTATCAGACAATTTTCCGGTTGGTTCTTTCTTTGGATTGAAAGATTCGTATCATATTAATTATATTATACCGAAGTATCTGATAACTGACTATTAATATCAACGATATTAAGAATAAATTAGTGATAGGATGTGTTGTTTACTGGCTGAGAGATTAACCAAAGATATCGAAAAATATACTAAGTTTGTAAATATAATAAAAGAATATGTTAAAACAAGATAGAATAGAAATTCGAAACTACTAAGACCAAAAAAACCATGGTATGATTCGGATTATATGAATTTAAGAATGAAAATAACTAAAGCATTACTCCAGTTTAAAAAATTACTTACACCATTTATCAATTCGTAAATTAAAAACGAAAACAGCTCCTGGAATGGATACAATTACCATTAAATTTATTAAACTTTTTTTGCCAGCGGGTAGGCAAGTTCTACTTGATCTTTATAACCATTTTTATAAAACATTTATTATATTCTCACTGAATGTCCAAAGCTTGAGGAAGCGCAATGTAAATTTAAATTAAATGAGATTTTTGATTTAAGTTAAGAAGAAAATTTCAGAACCAATCTAGAAAAGATTTCCATTATGTAAGATGCGTAATATTCATAACTTTTTGGTTCATATTTTAAAGAATTTGAAATATGATATGTAGACTGAATGATTAATATGTTATGTTTAGCAAATTTTATGTAACAAGATATTTAAAAAATGTTTCAATAGGTAATAATTGTATTTTTGTAATTCTCTAAAGATAACCCCCTGTAACAAGATCTTTCTTATTACAATAAAGTATTTGTAATAATAATTAATTTTATGAAATTTTTATTAATTTATTTATAATTAAAATTCTAAACATAAAATTTAAAATATTTACCCTCTTTTTTTTGCTAATAAGTTTTGAAAAGTATTAATTAATTCGAGAAAAGATGTTGGATTTATGTAATTATGGCGATATAATTCTTTGTAATAGGCAACTGATAATTTATCAATGGAAATATGAAAGATTTTGCATAAACTTATGCATGCCTTTCTCTCCTTTTTTGTCAATTCAGTATCTTGTAAAAATTTTTTTGCTACAGCTTCTAAACCATCTTCTGGCCATGGCTAAAAAAATTAAATACACAGATAATATTATAATTAATAACTCTATTATCTTTTAAAAAGTATGATTATTTTTAGAAAACATATAAACATCTTCAACCCAAACAGATATAAAATTTTTAGAGAATAAAATAAAGTCTAATTTACTTAAATTGATTTACTATAATCAATTAAAATCTAATAATATTTGGCTCATAATATAAATATTTTTTACTGTAAAACCTAATCAATCATTAATTATTCTATATTAATTTGGTAATTCATTATGTTAAAAAATTTTATTAAATAACTACAAATAAATTTTTCAATATTTTTAAAATTTTGAATATTAAAGTTAGAATAGTTATAATATTTACAGGATATATTTACTGTCTGTTGTACACATAATTAAAATAATTTAAAATTTTATTAAATATTTTTGAGTATTTTTTGATGCCTATAGCAAACTCAATATTCCAAACAAAATTAAATCCATTGGATAAAATTATCTGTTACATGAATGGATTTTTACTAATGATGCAACAAATATTCGGTTACTATTTGGTATTCGGCCAAATACCAAATATGTAATCACTATTCGGCTGAATACCGAACACTTAAAAAAGGAGTAAGAAATAACAAAAACACAGTAAATTAATCATTTTCGTAACTTTTATTAATGCTGAACATACATTTCAAGTTCGAGAAAGCACAATTTTTTGCTTATTTATGCAAAAGATCAAAGGAAAAGTAATATAACTAAGTTATTTTTTTAAGAGACCAAAAAAAAATAACAAATCAAATGAAAACTACCTACTTATTATGTAGTTTAGTCATCTATATACTTGTATATAAAAGAACAAGTCCTGATAGGAAATTAATGCAGAGCCAAAACTACTGAAACTTACTGCTAGAAACTTAAAAATTTGAGGGTGTGTTCCTTTTGTAAAGTTTAGGCTTTGCTAAGAAAAGATTTTATGAAATTCAACCCTAAAGAGGTGAAAAGGGTAAAAAATTTGTATGAAAATTTTTACTGCATGGGCACATTAGATCGAAACTTAGGTCATAAAATGTGAAAAAAAAAAATAATTAATGATCTGTAAAGTGTTTTTATGAAATCATCTCTTATTATAAACTTGAAAATTAAATTAACTTTTTTGTTTCATTGTACAAAATTATTTATTATAACTGAAGTTCCAGACAGCTTGGTAGTCTGAACGACCCCAGGCTTTCGCCCGTGCACGCTAAGTGACTTTCCTTACAAGCATTTAGCTTTCTGAAATCTATGAGAACAATTATTTAGCATTGACAGCATGGATTTTGCGCCAATAAGCTGCCTCAACTTGTTCGATTATGTTATCAACTCAATTTCATATTCAATTTCATATTTTCACTTCACAGTCCTTCTCTGTTCTTTTTCTGTTATTTACACATGTAAGTCATTTCATTGTTATCCACATTTGATATCATCACTTATCACATACTGCCATGACACTTGTGTCTGTCTGCTACAACTGTCAAGAATTAACACAATTGGCAAAGCGTAGTGACAGCGGGCCAATAGAGAGCAGGATGTGCAATCCTTGCCATAATGTGGTTTGCGCGCCAATTTTCATACATGTGTTAATCAAGCCGAATAGTTTGGCAGAATATTTGACTATTCGGCCATGCTCCTGGCCAAATGTTTGGCCTGAGGCCAAATATACTATTCGTTGCATCACTAATTTTTACATATGTTCAAATACAGTGTAAAAGCAAATTATTGATATTATTGTAATTAAATACTAAAAATATTAATTTGACTTTGAAATTGTATTCATTAACTACAATTCCAAAAGCTGGTTTAAGATTTGCAGAATTCAATGTCTGATAATAAAAACCTTTGTTCATTAAAAACTAATTGATATAAATTATTTTAATCTTCATATATGATTGAAAATTATGATAATACTAATAAATTTTTTGTGTAGTTGTGTGTCAAATAATTTTCTTTTAAAGAAATAATCCAATCTCAAAACACTTACTAAAACACCTTTTCTTGCAGCCGACGCTTTATTATAACAACTTTCAAACGTTTTCGGTCTTGTTAAAAGACCTTTCTCAAGAAAATAAAATTAAATACGTAACAAAATAAACAACAAAATCGTAAATCGAACGCTTAGTACGAATAACTGTTTTTTCAAATCTTTCGAACTCGCTTATAATCCGTTGTACATGACATCAGTGTAACCGGAAATATAAAAAGATTACATAACTATCTAAATATAAATACTTAAAGATGCCATCTCCCTACATCGTTCAAAAAATATAACTTGAGATACATATTAACTACTTTCTTCAATTATTAATTTTATATTAAGCTAGAGGACCATGCTGCCGATATTTTAGTCGATTCCCGGAAGTTGACTGCAAGGCCTTTATGCTTTGCCTTACAAATCTGCCAGGCTTCCGCGTAATGTCGGTGTCTCCTGTCTCGGACTATCTGCATTAGTCTTGCTTGGTCCCATATGCAGTCTAGAAAGAATTACAATTCGGCTTCGCCGGCCAAAAAATATAGAACCTTAGTACTAAAGATCTGCAGAAATAATACGAAGCTAGAATTTTTGACGGAATGCAGAGTTCATAACCTATTTCCCATGTCAATCTGGAGGGTACGTTTACCGCATGGATGCGCGTCGCTTATTCCTAAACTTAGAACAATCTGTCTACGTAAGGCGATCCGCAATGTTAGACGGAGAAAGTTTGTCCTGCAGAACGAACTTATAGAGTTAGAGAATGAGTTATATGACCAAGACCCTAAGATATTAACAGAAGTTAACGCAAGAGTAATTACATTGGCAGCACAAGTGACAGAAAGATGTAAGAAGAGATACAGGAACAAAATGATCTGGATCGTAAAACATCAAGAAGATCGATTTAAAGAATTGATCACCCCGAGGATTATATGCTGGGACAACATCGTTTTGCCTACATTCGTAAAGGAAGCAAGTAAATTCGGCCCTAAATACGCCCCTATACCTGTAATCGAACAGGACAGACTCATACCAGATATCGAGCAGGCATTGGAGGGCCTCAGCGAAAATAAGAAAGAAATGTTTAGATGGGAAGTCGCATTGAAAATCAAGCATGATGAATGTAAAAGGGACAGAGATCCTATTTGGCCTTATATTAGAAAAACTCAGAAATGGCTCAGAAGCAACAACATAGTGCTCACTAGAGCGGATAAATCAAAGGATATGGTGGTTATGAAGAGAACCACATACGACCACATTCTATCAGCATACATTAAAGATACCTGCTGTACGATTGCACCCCCCAACGCTGTAGGGAAACTGCAAGCAAGAGTCAAGAGGTTCGCAACCAATCCTTTAGCCAAAGAACTAGGTATTAAGAATATAATCGTACAGTCCCCTTCGACTCCAAGGCTTTTTGGATTTGCTAAAACTCATAAAAAGAATAAAGAAATAAGACCAGTCGTTGACAAAGCATGCGCCCCTACAATATTACTCGAAAAATGGGTACACAACTTTGTTCGGCAGCATGCCCCTAATAATCCATACAGCGTCAAGCAACCGGTAGAGGTTTTAAACAAAATCGCTAATATTAACTCGCAAGAAGTGAAATATATGACGGTGTTAGACTACAAGGCCTTGTATCCATCAGTTAAACTGGAACCATGCTTTTGTCATTTAAGGGACTTACTACTGAGCAAGATCCCGTCTCCAGAAAAGAAAAGAAAGTACATATTAGACTTGGCACACCTTACAGTGTTCTCTGCGTTATTTAGCTTCAAAGGTGTTACATACACGCAGAAAAAAGGAGTAGCTATGGGCAGCCCCCTTGCAGGTACTCTATGTGAAATGGTACTAACAACGCTAGAAAACACAGTGTTGCCGAAGTATGAAGCGCAAATGATATTGTACGCTCGATATGTAGACGACGTACTTATTTTCTGGAACACTCAACCCAACTTACAGAGCTTTATAAAGGATATAAATGACAATAGATTCGGCCTGAAGATCGAGGTAGAGCAAGAAAATGATAAGACCATACATTTCTTAGATCTGCATATACAAATTAACAACTTAAGAGGGTTCACGACTAAAGTGTACAGAAAGCCATCCTATAACCCTATATTTATTCCGTGGATTTCTCACGATCCTCCAGCATATAAAATAGCAGCGTTCAGAACGTTAATCGCAAGAGCTTATTCGCACTTAACAATGCAAAAGATAGAAAGGATAAACTGAGTTATGTATATAACTTAGCCAGAAAGTACGGGATTAATCTTAAAGCTATTATCAACAAGAATAATAGGAGCCTTAAGAGGAGAAATTTACCTCATAATGAAGGAGTTTTAACGATGGAATATAATGCGTCGTTGAATAATATTTTCCGACGCATCGGAAAGGCCCAGAACAAAAGAATCATATATAAAAGAACCCGCACCACGTACCAACTACTGCGATCTGATAAAGATTTAGTGGACAGAAGAACACTCCCCGGGGTATATAAAATTCCAGTTACGGACTCAAGGCGACGAAGTAAATTAATATATGTAGGGGCAACAGGAAGAAGTATCAAAGACAGGTTAGCAGAACATCAAGCAAATATAAGAAAAAAACAACCTTGCACTGCGCTAGCCACCTACGTTCTAGCGGACCAGCAAGACGTCAATGTTGAATGGGACCAAGCAAGACTAATGCAGATAGTTCGAGACAGGAGACACCGACATTACGCGGAAGCCTGGCAGATTTGTAAGGCAAAGCATAAAGGCCTTGCAGTCAACTTCCGGGAATCGACAAAAATATCGGCAGCATGGTCCTCTAGCTTAATATAAAATTAATAATTGAAGAAAGTAGTTAATATGTATCTCAAGTTATATTTTTTGAACGATGTAGGGAGATGGCATCTTTAAGTATTTATATTTAGATAGTTATGTAATCTTTTTATATTTCCGGTTACACTGACGTCATGTACAACGGATTATAAGCGAGTTCGAAAGATTTGAAAAAACAGTTATTCGTACTAAGCGTTCGATTTACGATTTTGTTGTTTATTTTGTTACGTATTTAATTTTATTTTCTTGAGAAAGGTCTTTTAACAAGACCGAAAACGTTTGAAAGTTGTTATAATAAAGCGTCGGCTGCAAGAAAAGGTGTTTTAGTAAGTGTTTTGATATTACAATATGCAGTCTAGAAAGAATTATAATCCAATCTATCAAACCAAACAATAAAATAGGATTAAAAATTTTTTGTATATCAATTTTTGTTTTTTCAGTTTGTATCATATTGATTATTTCCTCCTTCACTTTCCAACATACATGATTACATTTTCTCTCTTACAAAAAATAATTTAAATGATTTACTAAAAGTTATTAATTCTTTTAATTTTATTTTTACAGACTACTTATTACATATTTTTATTGTTATATGACTTGATTAATTATAAAACTCAATTTTAAATTAGTAATAAAGTTGGAAAAACCTCAAATTGTTCAAAATATGAGAAAATGTTAACAGGTTTATGATTACATTAACATGTAATCATAAACCTGTTAACATTTTCTCATATTTATCTCATAGGTCATATTTTCTCAAAGGTTTATGATTACATTATTTTCCAACACATTTTTGTAAACACTGAATAAGATGCTGTATTCTGGTGTTGTAAATGTCACTATTATAGCAATATATAATGATAAAACAAAAATAATCTTTATTTTCTACTTTAAAATATATCAGATCATTCAAAGTAAAATTTATTTTAAGATTATTTTAAAACTATATTACATTTAAGTAAATTTATTCACAAATAACTATATTACCTCAAACCAATCTATGGTACAACAGTTAACAAGAGAAGGAAATTTGCGAATACGATTTCTAAACAGATCACCAATAGTACTCATTGTCAGACAAATGTGTAATTGATGTCTCACATGTTCAATAAATAAATTGAATAATGCTTCAGCTGATCCATCAGTTTGGTTTAATCTATCTTTTTGTCTAAATAACAAATAATAAAATGATTAATTTATAACAAATGTAAAAGATAAGATTATGTAATTAAAAATAATTACAATTCTCAAACCAAATTTTTCAAAATCTAGAGATCAAAGTGAAATATAATAGCAATTATATATTATTTTTCTATGCATGTAGGTTACAATTTACTTTCTATTTTCCAATAAAACTTGAAAGCAGAAAAGTAATTTATCCAGATGTTGATGAGCTTTTACTATAATTTTGTAATAAACTGTAGTAAAAGTTCATTAAGTATTAGGGAATATAAAAATGAAGAGAGAAGTAATTTTTGAAGGAAAAACATGATCAATTAATAACAATTGAAAGAATGCATACTGTCTATTGGCAATCAAAACCTTGTATCTTCAATAATCATTCAAAACCACATTTTTGCATTAATATGCTGTAAAGTCAATTTATATGCATTGCCAAAACCTTCTATGTATTAACCCATCATCACTTGCCCATGGTAAAATAAGCACAAATGACTTTTTAAATCCTTAGTGTAGAAATCTGAATTTCTTAAAAAATTTCTAATAGCTGAACTTTATATATATTTCAATTTGTTTACAAGGGTTTTTAAAGAAAACCTTTCATTTTTGATTTAATAGATATTGTCAAATTAGCACTATAAGGCAAGTAGTCACAACTTTAAATTTTGATACTTTTCCTGAACATTGTTACTAAAAATTTAACCCTGCGTAAAGCGCGCCAAAGATTCACGCACAGTTGTGCGCGCGGGGTGCTATATAACCCTCGTGTTCAAAATTCAATTTTTCAAAACTCATAGTTTTTTTCGCGATTTTTTCATTTTGGATGTTTGTGGGCATGTGTTTTTGATGTATTAGTGAAAAAAACTACTTCAAATATATCGTTTTTATTTATTCGTAACGAAAAACAGAAAGTATCCCGTTNTGACTATCTGAAAGCATAAGAAACATTTTAGATATTATTGTGAGAATACAGGGGGTATGAGAGTTATACTCATAACCACTTTGATCCATTGGAACGTTCAGGACCCGCTCACGATGTCACTGGTTGGCTTTAAAATATAGGAGAGTCTTAAATGTGAGTGGGGAGAGTCATGGGTAAGTTTCAATCATTGCGAGTCTGGATGTTTGTATTCAACCAAGTGAACAGACAGGTTAACAAATAACAACCAAAAGTTTAATGAATATAATAAAGAAATACATAGACGGGAATAATCTATCATTATATCGATGCCTAACTACATACACCTTTAAACATAGAGAGAGAGTTTACAAAACGTTTTAAATAATAATACCTCTGATCTGGTTGATTCAATTCAGTTGATGTGTGGGCTATCTCCTTCCATATCTGAAGGAGGTCCTCATCCAGGCCATCTCCTTCTCCATATCTGAAGGACCTCCTTCAGATATGGAGAAGGAGATGGCCTGGATGAGGACCTCCTTCAGATATGGAAGGAGATAGCCCACACATCAACTGAATTGAATCAACCAGATCAGAGGTATTATTATTTAAAACGTTTTGTAAACTCTCTCTCTATGTTTAAAGGTGTATGTAGTTAGGCATCGATATAATGATAGATTATTCCCGTCTATGTATTTCTTTATTATATTCATTAAACTTTTGGTTGTTATTTGTTAACCTGTCTGTTCACTTGGTTGAATACAAACATCCAGACTCGCAATGATTGAAACTTACCCATGACTCTCCCCACTCACATTTAAGACTCTCCTATATTTTAAAGCCAACCAGTGACATCGTGAGCGGGTCCTGAACGTTCCAATGGATCAAAGTGGTTATGAGTATAACTCTCATACCCCCTGTATTCTCACAATAATATCTAAAATGTTTCTTATGCTTTCAGATAGTCAGTAATAAATGACATCCAAAAGAAACATATGCAAAAATTTACAAAGAACTTACAGTCTCTGAATGACACAAAATTGCAACATCAACCATATTGGGATGATGCCATGATACAAAATTGTGTTAATCAGCAGCAAAAGTGTAAAAGATTAATTAAGTGTTCAAAATTACCAAAATTTCAAATGAACAGTAATGTATAGATATATATCTGTCCTCTTTCTTTTTTTCACTTGCCCATAAAAAATTTTTTTTTATATTCTTCTAATTTTGAAATACTTCTCTGGAATATGTCAATTCAATTAATTTTAATAAAGATTTTACAAATATGGATTTAGCAATATTTTTATTTGAATGAAAAACTATATCTCATGTTTAAAAGTTAAATGATAAGCAAAAAGTTGTGAATAGATTAATAATATTAATTGACTACACATAAATTAAGTTTAAATTTAAACTATAAATTAAATTTATATTTTAAAAAATACTTACTTATCAATCATTCGCATGTTTTCAATTATTTCTTGTTTCTCATCAACTTGATAAAGATTTGGAACTTCTCCAGCATTTAATAAATTATTAATATCTTCTAAAAATGATTCTTCTTTAATTTGAGAATCTGGAAACAAAAATACTGTATGTTGATCTCCAGATGTACATTTTTTTAACAACACTTTGAGATCTTCTTTCCATTGTACATATGAATATGATTTAGAAATCTCCACCTAAAAAAAAATTATACAATTCTTTAAATTTCTAATTCTCTCTAATACTTTATTCTTTATATTGATTTGTAATCTTTATTATCCAGAAGAAAATATTAGAAACTACAAATCATTATAAAATGTCAAAGTAATCTGATTCAAAATAACTATATTTTATTAAATTTTTTGAAAACAGTTTTTAAATTATTATGTTTTAAAGTAACTGTAAAGACCAAAATGTTGAACGTTACTCATATATTAGTTAATAAACACCGATACTACATATTTTTTTAAATTTAAGTCTTACAGATTTCTAATATTAATCAATCTATGATTTTTATAAATTCACAAAAATAAAAAGTGTCTTCTTGTTGTCTTTTTCTTGCACCTCAGAAAATAACAGTCTTAAGGAAGAATTGACCTTTATTTAAAGGTTTCTTGTTCACCTCATTATGCAAAATGTTACAATCTTCCCTCTAGTAACAGCATAATTAAAAAAAATATGTAATGTAAATTTGATAAAATGGCCAGGACAGTAAATATAAATTCACAAAAAAACAGAAATATAAATCTATAAATTTATATTTATGGTCCTGGCCATTTTATCAAATATATTCTATATTTATTAATTATGCCATCATCAGAAGGAATATTGCAACATTTTGCATATTGAGACAAATGAAAAAACCTCTAAATAAAAGTTAAGGCCACTATAACACTGTTATTTCCTGAGGTGTGAGAAAAGGACAATAAGAAGACACTTATATTTTTGTGAATTTATATTTACTAAATATGCCCTAACCATGTTGCCACCTTTTCAAAATTGCTGACCCAGATAGGGTCAGAAATTTAGAAAAATTGCCAAAACTGTCTCGAACAGGTCATAACCATTTTTGAAATTTGTTTTCTGTCAGCCAATCTTTATTAAATTTAGAAGTTTGCTTCTCTTCTTTTGGGCTTTCAATTTCTTCAGTTGTCATATTAAATAATTAAAATAAAAATTATAAACTTGTAAACTGAAACTGTCACATTCACTTTACAATAGGTTTGTTCTAAGTCCCTAACTGGTTTGAATTTGAAACCGTACGAGGCATGCGCAATGTTATTTTACAGCCAAGAACTGAACAATGCACATGTCAGTTTTAAACCAGTTAGAGATTTGTGTTGGAACAAACCTAATGTTTACCTTTCAATGTAAATCCATCTCTGTAATCCAAAAAAACACACTTTGGTAGATGTATCTCACAGCAACAGTTGCTGTGTAATACGTCTACCAAAGTGTGTTTTTTTTTTGGATTANCTCGAACAGGTCATAACCATTTTTGAAATTTGTTTTCTGTCAGCCAATCTTTATTAAATTTAGAAGTTTGCTTCTCTTCTTTTGGGCTTTCAATTTCTTCAGTTGTCATATTAAATAATTAAAATAAAAATTATAAACTTGTAAACTGAAACTGTCACATTCACTTTACAATAGGTTTGTTCTAAGTCCCTAACTGGTTTGAATTTGAAACCGTACGAGGCATGCGCAATGTTATTTTACAGCCAAGAACTGAACAATGCACATGTCAGTTTTAAACCAGTTAGAGATTTGTGTTGGAACAAACCTAATGTTTACCTTTCAATGTAAATCCATCTCTGTAATCCAAAAAAACACACTTTGGTAGATGTATCTCACAGCAACAGTTGCTGTGTAATACGTCTACCAAAGTGTGTTTTTTTTTTGGATTACAGAGATGGATTTACATTGAAATATACAATACAGCAAGCCAATTATATATATATATATATAAAAATGGACATGTATGTTCCTATATTTCACTTTTCTGCCAAAACTACACATCGCATGTGAATTAGTGTTTGTATGTGGTAGTAGCCTCAAGTCTCCATTCGTGCACCAGGGGGGGTTGCGTCTCGATAGCTATAAGGGTGTGGGAGATATGAGGCTGAAAGTGGTTGAAAGTGGCTTTCTATTTTGAATGTTTTGTTCGAATTTAATTCGAACAATGTTCGAATTTGTTCGAACAAATTGAAACAATATTTGAATTAAATTTGAACATAAAATTCGAATATTGGTTCGATTATAGAATGATTGTAAATGTTCCAGAAACGTTGAAAATAGTTCGTTTGACTTGACTTGAACAGGAGACGTCCAGAAATAGAATCGGGACCAGGTCTCTAATTAGTCTGGAAACGGGGGACCTAATTCTTGCATTCTGTGAAAACGGGTAAGATTGGCTATAATGTAATTATCTTAATCTTCACTATCGTTACTTTTTAAAAACCCAGCGAAGCGGGTCCTTGCAGCTAGATTCTAGATTACTTAGAAAAACAGTCTTTTATATATATAAAAAAAACTATATTACATACAAATGTACAAACAAATAAAAACCCAGCAAAGCGGATCCTTGCAGCTAGTATACTAATATTTACAAGAGATATTTGCAAGTTAGAATTTTAAAAGTACATTTCCTGTCACTCTTAGCTAAGGGATAAGATGAGAATAAGTTTGGATGGGGGTGTGGAGTTAGTCTTTAACTGTTAAAATAAAATACTCACAAATATTTTTATAAATTTATTTTGTTTCATCATAATTTCAATTTCTACAAAAACTGGACAAATTAATAATAATCCGGACCATGAATTTAAAAACCAGCTTGTCCGGGTGAAAACTGGCCTGGTGGCAACACTAGCCCTGACCATTTTATCAACTACTAGCTTACCCGTTGCGCATTGCTGCAATCTCAGAAGAAAGGAAATTCAAGCAAACTTGTTATGATAAAATTAAGTTTACATTTTATCATTTTTATTGAAACTTATTATTATTCATTTTAATTGGGAAAACATTTCAAAGTGTCGTTTCAATTTTATTTATTTATTGGAGTGCTTTGTGGATACACGATATTTTTTGTTTTTCCATCTGGTATGTACACGAATAAATCACCACATACAGTTGTCCATGTGAGAAGTACGGTTTCTTTAAATTTAGCCCACATACTCGCAGAGATTGTTAGAAGTGCGATATTCCCCATTTTTATATATATATTTTTTAATCCTTTACAATTTTAATTATTTAATTGCTCCTTCCTCTCTTCCTTGGCATGTTGTGAAATTTCTCATAGTTGGATAATAAACCGTTTTATTATAATTTGTCTTTTTAAATTATTTTAAGTCGATATTAAAATTTAGAAAAGGGGATCCCTAGATTGGTAAAATAGGCAAATTTCCTCCTACAACTTTGGTTGTTGTTCGGGATACAGTTAAGGTTTTAACAAAGTTCGAGCAAATACATAATTAGCAAAAAATAATTGAAATAAAGTGATTAAACAAAATTTATTACAAATATCATAAATAACAGTTCACAAATGCATATATAGAGATTTTTTTGGAGGGGGAAATGGTCTTCACAATTTGAAATCAATCGAATACACAGTGCTCAAATGCTCGTATAAACGCGCGCCATCTATTGTTGGATAAATGGAAACTTTGTGAGTATATTAAACAGCTTCCCAAAGTTTCATGGCATTCGGATAAACAGTGTGGTAATGCATGAAGGACAGACAGCGAACAGACAGACAGCCATACATTCATTTATATATATAGATAACTTTTTATATTTTTTAATTTTATCCCACAGTTTTGGTTATATTTTAATCTTAATTAAATGAAAATCAAAATTTTTATACCTGAAATAACTCATATTCTTCTATGTGAGTAGCCAATCGAGTTAATACTTGTCTTCCTGTACCTCCCATCCCAACTAGTAGAGCATGACTAGGTGGCTGTATCAATATACGTGCTATTCTGCATAGGTGTTCAATAACAAATCTAAAATTTTAAGATTAAAATAAGTAAATAATTTGGAACATAATTTTACACAAATAAATTATGTTTTGTTAATTATACCCATATCATCAAAATCTACATTTTCTACTAAATGAAGTACAGTGGGTGTTCTATTAACGAATATAATCCGTTCCAAGACTTTGTTTGCTATCAGAATTGTTCTTTAACTGATTATCAATGTACCATAGGTTTTTATAGGAATTTGATTAACTCATTCTGGAGACCTGAAAAAATAAAAAATATACACTTTCTTACTAGGTTTATATATATATATATATATATATGCAGTTTTGTATTTTTATTAGTCATGTTTTTTCCATTTGAGGGGTTAAAGAATCTGTCTAATGTTGATTGCTTTTCTCTCTTCTTCAGAATTTTTCAGAAGTAATTAATAGCATTGTAATTGTAGAGATCTCCAAGCCTATTAACCTCAATGGATGCCATTCTAAAACCATTGTTCTGACATCCTCCCACTTCTTCAAAAGATCTTTAATAGCAGATATCAGCATTAATCCTCTTTTTCAAAAGAAAATATCTTGCCGAGTTTCTTAGTGTTATTCATTCAAGAGTTCTTGGCATTCTTCTGTCGTCAGATCCGTTTCAGGTTCTATTATGAGCTCTTCAATGTTCTTTATTTCTCAGATGTGATTTTTGTTACTCCTTTAGATGCTCAAGTCTCCTCAATTATACTGTATTATTCTTAGATAAGATTGAACTGTGGCCTACCTTAGACCTGTTCAAGCCATACTGCCTAGCAGCATCAGACATCTTCTGCCCACTCTCTACCTTTGCTATTATACAGTACTCTCACCTTTCAAAAATAAAAACCGACATAACTTAATGAGTGCTGCCCGACAGTCTTGTGAATACTATAAAAGAATTGTTTCTGTCAGAAAAATAAAAGGCTGGAATTACAAGGGAGAGTTTTAAAGTTCAGAAGAATACTATTTGATCAGTATATAACAGATTGAGCATCAATGTCGATGTCTCCCATGCTCCCAAAAGTTCTGAATTGTTGCCTGAAGACAAGGAAAGACTAATCGGTATTCATTATTTTACGTCACTTCTTCTTGTGTTTGTTCTATGGGATGTTCATTATCTGAACATGTGTTCTTTGTCCGAACATAAAAATCTTTCACAAAAGTGTTCGTTATCCAATTTGTTCGTTAATTGATCACCCACTGTATTGAATAAATAAGTATTAAACATAACATTATTATTAGACATACTAATAGTAATACCCAGAGCTATTTTTTCAGCCAGAATGCACCAGTATGGCAAACTAATGTGTTCTGGCTGCACCACAGTAGTATAATAATATCAATAGTTGATAGTACTGAAAAATCCTATATATTCAGACAAATCTGGTATCACAATAAAAACAAAGAAATAAACTGGGCTACTATCAACCACAATGAATGACTCAGGCTGATTGGAGCTAATGTAAAAAGCAAAAGCCTTTTGTCAGAGGCCATCTTTCAGTGTACAAACAATACTGTTTAGTAATTGTCTATCCCTGTTACATTCTTGTCAAGAAACAAGATACAAAGAAGCAATAATAATATTTTAAAAAGGAAAGGTAAAAACATGGTTACTAAAAAGGCATCCTTTAGCAATCCACAGTAAATCCGAAACAAGAAATTTATCAGTGGCATGTGGTGACATTTGATGATAGGGAAGCTGTGTTTCCATAAAAATTATAAACAAATACTGGAAATTACAAAAATAAATTGTTTATTTTTGTAATTTCTAGTTTCTATGATGATCAATACGAAACCTTCCTCACTTATTTCTAGCCATTTATACACTAGTACAAATGTTTTCGCCTTCTTAATAGGCCTTCTTCAGGTACACTGTGGTCTGTTAGAGCATCGGTTGGTAGAAGTTTAAATGGTGTCAATGTTTACATAGGTATCGTCTTACTAGTGACGTCATCGTTGATGATAGGTATAGATGATACCAAGGGTGAAAAATTCTTTCTTTTGTTAAAAAAGGGAGGTGTGCAAATAGTTCATGATGGGATAATCGCTAAAGTTGGGGAATAAAATTGTAAAATAAGCACGCTACATAAAGAAGATGCACTATCACGATAGGGGGTTAATGGGGAGTGACGTCATAGTTGGTGCCGTAAATAGCTAACAATATAGTAAGAAAAGGCGTGCAAATGACCATAGATGGGAATGGTGCTATGTTTGGAAAGCAGAATTGGAAAATAAACGTGACAAGTAAAAAAGCGCTATGGTTGAAAAACTGCACTCAGTAGATGCACTGATAGAGGGTACTGTAAAAATTAATAATATTAAACCATATAATTCTTTCAGTACATCTTTGTTCAGATCATCATTATTTATATTATTTTTTATATATAAGAGTGACTTGCCAATATAGTCTGGACATGAATATAAATATTGCAATTCACGACGTAATTCAGATAAATCAAAAATTTCTCCATAAAATTTACTTAATTTAAAGAATTAAAACTTGCTTTGGAAAATTGTTTTTCATAATATTTAAAATTATTAACATCCAAACGTGATAAAAATTCTAAAGATTTCATGTCTGAAAATCTGTCAATATAATTATAATTCAAAGAAAATTATAATTAAATATAGTTTTGTAAAGATATGTACATAAAAATAATATAAAATATTCTTTATTTTTTAAATCTTAAAACAATGCACTTAGTCAAATAGCTCCCTATGAGTGGCAAATGAATGGAATCATTGGAAGCATTAATCACCAACTAAACTGCCAGAGGTTGGTGCTCTGCAAAATGCTTGCACAAATGCGTGTAATCTGGCTGCTGTACATGATTCAGATATTTTTACCATGGAAGCTGTCCCATATTTGGCAATATGGCACGTCCATTGGGAATATGCACATATGAATATACAATAGCAATCTTATCGTTGTTTTTCACATGTGAATAAATTTGTAATAAAATACTTAAAATTAATATTTTATTATAACAACATTAAGTAGTTCAAAATACATTAAATACATAAAATATAAATACATTATGTATTTAATGTATTTATATTTTAGAAAATACAAGGGAAATGATGCTTCCACAGCTTCTATGGATGGTACACCATTGAATTTATATTGGGTTTTTTTAACTCTTTGGAATCAGGAGATCTCAAAATAGTGAGATTCCTAAAACCTGGATGGTCAAATGTGACATGATTACAATATCATGTTATAGCAGCCAAGAAAGTAAAAGTGCTGCAGGGTACCAAAAAATACAATGTATAAGGGTAGAATTATGTAAATGAAAAACATATAACTGAAGTGTTTACAAACTTGTTAAAATTATGAAATTTGACATATAAATTATTATTCCATATGAAGTAAAGATTGTTTCAAACAATTTTTTTGATTATTTATAATGGAGAAAATACTATACAGAAAATATTTAACATATAATTGTGAGAAACATGTAAGTGGGGTTCAACTATATTGTGAGGATCATAGGCCCAATTTTTCGCCAATTTAACGAAATTCTTAAGCCTATTTCTTCGTCATAATCGTTAAGAAAACATCACACAGAAAACGGATTGAATATCACCCTTACTATCAACAACCAGTTGAGAATTATAACAATCAAGTTTTAAATCAAACAGCGTATTGTTAAAAGAAGAGAAAGTCAACCAAATAGAAGGCATCATACAAATCTCGAACCAAATATGGTCATGACAGCTCCATATAATGACAGTTTTACATCATCAATGGCTCACCTCTGACCACACACCTGCAGATTCGTTCCTAAACATTCGATCACCTGATGGGTTTTCCCAGGCTAGATTGGGTAAAAAGGAAGCAGGAACTCAAGTCGGGATGGACCACACTAGACAGCCATATAATGACACACATCTCCAGTCACCCTGTTCCAGCAGACATCTTCAGAACACCATAGCCAGTTTGACACATCCTAAGACACCATACGAAACAGAAGCCACCCAAAGCCCCAACCTAGAAGTGGCCAATACAATGCTCCACCTCCATATAAATACCAATGATGATCTAATAGCCACAGAGATCATCAAATTGGTTATCTACCACAGGTAAATGCTTAGCTCATATATAAAATTTCTCTCTCCATTACATGTGACTTAGAGCTCGCTTATGTACTCATATTCATGTAGCTTGTTAGGTTTTAGTCAGTTATTAAAATTTAAAATTTTTCTTGTTTATTAATGGTGTCTGTTACTCGTGTATCGCCCATGCTTTCTCGATAAGCCTTCTCACCTCCCCCACTCGACCTGACAAGCCGATCCCAAATGCAGGAAATGTACAAAGAAGAAACATGCCATCAACTGACCCTGTGAACAGTTTTTGCCAAATCCGAGGGCAAGCCGCAAGCATTGCCCTCGGATCCTCACAATATTATATAAATTAAAAAAAGATAATAAATTCACAAATATTATATATATATTGTATATATATAATCAGTATACTTACTTAAAAAGCACTATATTCATGGGCTTTTTGTTCAGACTATTATAATTTTCCATAAAATTTTCAATAATATTTTGTAAAGTATTAATATCTTGTACTCTGGAATAATGTTTTGTATCTGATTTTGTATCTCCAAAGTCACAATACATAAGTGATCGAATATTATCTTCAGTGACAATTCCATCATGATTACTATCCAAGAACTTCAACAGAATATTCATATCATGATGTAATGTATCTTTGCATACATCCTTTACCATTTTAAAAAACCACAAACGATCTTCTTTGTCTATTAGACGATCATAAAAAACCCTAAACACCTTTAAAAATATTTAATTATGTAAGATACTTTTTAACATAAAATTATAAACTTGTTAAAATTATGAAATTTGAACTATAAATTATTATTCCATATAAAGTAAAGATTGTTCCAATTATTTTTAAAAATTAGAATAATAAAAAGCAATCTCAATTTGACTGAATAATTGCTATAAAATAAATTTGATCATCATAATCTTATAAAATTGTTAATTTCATAAATTTTTTACCTCATGAATCCACAACTGTTTCATTGAGTCTAAATTTTCAATAGTTTCTGGAAGACATAATAACAGTCCTTTAACTATTTTAGAAAAGTCTCTTGTATTAAATAAATAATGAGATTTTGTAGGTGTTGGTAAAAGATTTGAAATGGATTTCTTATATATTTCAAGACTAGCATCAATTAAAGATTTAACAATCTTTCCAAAATCTTTAGAAAATCCCCTAAATTCAAAAATATTATTATAAGAGATAATCCATAATAATATATTTTAATTAAATTTATAGATTAAAAAGTCTAAATCATATTTATTAAAATAAAAAATGTATATATTAAGAAAGTAATAAATATATAACATTAACTATTGAATATAAAATATAAAAATGTAAAAAAAATTTCAAGAATATTATGTAAGGAACCAAATCCGAGCATTATTTTTAGTTATTTTTATTTTTGCTTTTATTCTATTTTTGTTTGGGCTTATGTTTTGCTAGGACAAAGGTTTCCTCACAACTCACTTTAGAAACTTAAAAATAGAAGAGAAACCAACTCACCAATGAGAGAAAAGTGCTGTAGATAAAACTCGCGCACACTTGTGCTCCCCAGCAGAAAAAAGTAAATCCGCACTGAGAAAAGGGGGGAGACCCCACAAGCACAACTTAGGAACTTGCTAAACCTTAAAGAATAAAACATCCCGAAAATTGTAAAAAAGAATAATGTAAAAGGTTAGCAAGTATTGTCAGAAAATAGGCTGCCAGACAAATAGAAAAACTTTATTGTTAGCAAATAAGTATGTAAATGAAGGGAGTGATCTCACTCAGAATTGTGACGTCACCTCACAGTATAAAGACCGAACCTCAAGTGAAGATGACCAAGGTGAGCTTCTGTTAACAACAAGCGTGGTGAGCTTTGTAGCAGCAAACGAGAGAGAGGTGTCCAATAGGATAAAGTAGTTCCAAGACAATTTTGAAGTTATTCGATTTGTGGATCAAAGATTAGAGAAAGTCTTGAGAGTTGTGGAAAAAGGTTCCTAGTATATTGAGGTGACGATTAGGGCCTTTAATTCATAAGAATTATTGTACATAAGTTAAGTCTTTGAATTTTTTGTCAAATTCCAAAGGGGAATAGAGCTAACTTAGAAAATAGATTGATTTGAGTTTTGTCAGGTTGATTCTTATTGATTTACATTGAATAAATTCTTATTTGATTTTTACTAAATTTTGTATATAGTTATTACTAGAAATTTTATTAAATACTGGACTGTTTTTAACTAACTTTGTCATTATTTAGTTCAGTGCACGCTTAAATTCCAGGCCTGGCACATTAACGCGAATCTGCATAAAGTACCTGTTAGGTAACGGCTATTTCCGGCACACAGTCATGTTGATAATCGTTGGAAAAGGCGGAAAAATAATATAGTATTTTACAATTAGAAATTTTAAAGTTTATAATGTTTCAATCCATTTTATATCATTAAGTTATTTATATATTTATATATTTATGTGTGTATGTAGGTATTGTCTATTTTAGTATTTCATTTTAATTCCAGACAAAAAAAATCAACTGAAAACTTAAGAGAAGAGCTGTAGTAAATGAATTAGATGAGAGTTCAACATAAATTGTTTAAGATAACAAACACATGAAAATTACTTGGCAGTTCATCTATTACACTAAAAAGTGATGGGAAGAATTTGGAGACATTGTTGATAGGATCAGAAATGGTAGACATCGCAGTGTTCACAGAGTACAGTTTATCATATGGGTTGCAGCTCAAATTTGAGGAAATCCCCAGAGGAATCAAAATGTCAAGACTAGACAGTTGAAGACAAGTATTATGTCAAGCTTTCACAGAACCCTGCATGAAAACTTGGAACTCAAGGCTTATCGAATGGCCTGCAGGCATTATCTTACCTTAAGCTTCAAGTACAGGTAGCCCTCGGTTTACGACAGCTCAATTTACGCCAATTCACAGTAATGCCACTGTGCAATTCGCTGTTGCACGGTGTAATTCCCCGATTTTCCCTATGCTAGACTGATTTTCATTTCAGTGTTGACGTATTTACCGAGCTGCGACATTGTAGATTCGTTGAATCAAAGATTTTTATTAAATATATTTATTTTTTCTGTTTACTATTATTGGGTATGTATATATTTGCATTAAATTAATATTAAAATACTAAATGTTTAGGAGTCAAGTTATTAAACTTAATAGTCCAATAAATGGTGTCCGAATCCATAGTGCCAATGAATGTATCCTGTATCAGTTCATTCAGGAAAACATCTTACGATGTAGTAGCACTTCCAGCGATGACAAACTATTGTTAGTGAGACAAATCTACTTCTCGTTGGTCAGGCGATATCTATCTCTCCTTAGCCACCTTCAATTTTCCTGCTCAAACTGATCTCATATGTGCTATGGCGACTATGACTATATATGCGCTACGGCGACCTGTGGTAGACCAATCAGTGTCTCCACTCGTCTGTACCTCTACATCGAGTTAATGTATCCTTTCAACTATGGAAAGTTTGACAGATGAACTTTGTGAGTTAGACAATGATTGGGATTGAAGTGCAAATTTAAAAAGAAGCATCATATTCGACCATATTCCAAAATTCTCAATGAAAGAAAACAAAAATGTAAACAATTAAAGATGGATACTTTTTCCAAATAATGTAAGAGATCCGAAACTAAAATTTTTTAATAAAAACATTTCACTTTATTTTATGATAAAATACATTTTAAAAATTAAATTTATTTATATTTTGTATTATATTGTATTAATAAACAAAATTATTTGTGTATTTTTCACTTATACTTATGTAGAACCTAACCCTATACCTCAGTGTAAATATGGGTTCATTTTACGCCAATTTGATTTGTGCTGGCTTTTGGTAGGAACGGAACTGCAGCATAAACCGAGGGCTACCTGTACAATGCCGCCACATCATCCATAAACACTGTGAATCTTCTGTAGTGGGATTGATTCACCCATTTCCCATTGTTCAAACACTAATATCTCTGTTACTTTTGTTCTACACACACTGTTCCAATTATGCTGTTTTCTATCATGCAGAATCACATGACATTGTGAATGCCCAATGTTTGTATTAAAAATTTTCAAGTTATGGTTACATCAACTGTAACCATGACATGTTTTATCCATATTTTTGTGTATTGTGAACATCGTCCAAAATTTTCAACAGATTCCTCAATTTTGCACTCTTGAGGTCACTATTAGTTGGTCATGTTACTTTAACATGACCAATTAATAGTCATGTTAAAGTATTTTAATGTATTTAACTATTCTGTATTTAATCTGAAGTAAGTTTTTATTCTTATATGTTTCATGCATGTAATACTTTATCTAATTTAAAGTAAAAAAAAAGTAAAATTCAAATAATACAAAAAATTTCACACATTAAATTTATTACTTTTTCAGACATATTAAATAGAAGAGACCTTAAATTCAAAACTTTTAATTAAAACTTTACAGCATTTTGTTTCATGAAATTATAAACAAACAACAACATTACAACCTGTATACATTATAAACTACAAGCCAACCAATGCCATATGTTATTGGGCAAGATATCAGCTATAATACTAATACATTATGAAACAATTTGATACCAGAGGGAGAGTACCAAATTGTTTCATAATTTGTTAGTATTATAGCTGATATCTTGCCCGATAACAAATGGCATTGGTTGGCTTGTATTTCATGAAATTATCTAAAATTTAATGTAGCAGCATGCTTACGTGTAGTTGGAAAGATGGAATATTAAAAGTTTTCTTATTTACATTTCATAAATACGAGGGCAACGTGAAAAAGTTCTCGGCCTAGTAGTGAAAAAATGAGTTTTTTATTTTAAAAGTGCATTTATTTCTCAATGTAGTCTCCCTTTAGTTCAATACACTTTGTCCAACGTTTCCCCAATAACAGTATTCCATCCCTGAAGTGCAATTCTGGAAGGTCTTCAAAATATCCATTTACTGCTGCTATCACNCTTTAGTTCAATACACTTTGTCCAACGTTTCTCCAATAACAGTATTCCATCCCTGAAGTGCAATTCTGGAAGGTCTTCAAAATATCCATTTACTGCTGCTATCACTTCTTCACTTGACCCAAAATGTTTTCCCGCCAAAAATTTTTTAAGATTTGGGAATAAATGAAAGTCAGAGGGAGCCAAATCTGGCAAATAGGGAGGATGTTCCAATAATTCATACTTCAAATCACTCAATTTTCCCATTGCCAAAGCACCTTTGTGAGTGGGTGCATTGTCCTAGTGAAAGAGGATTTTTTCTTTTGCAAACCAGGCCTTTTCTCTATAATTTTTTCATCTAGCTGGTCAAGAAGATATGCATAGTATTCCCCATTAATTATTTGACGCTTTGACAGGTAGTCAATTAAAAGAATCCCTTTGGAATCCCAAAAAACACTAGCCATAACCTTTCCAGCTGATGCAATTGTCTTTGCTTTCTTCGGTGCAGAGCCATCAGCTTCTACCTACTGCTTGGACTGTTGTTTTGACTCAGGGGTAAAGTGGTGAACCCATGTTTCATCCATCATAACAAATCTGCGCAGAAAATCAGTTGGATCCGTCTTAAAACGGTGCAAACATTGATGAGAAAGTTGATTCCTCATTTGTTTATGATCAGCATTTAACAAATGCGACACCCATCTTGCGCAAAGCTTTCTCATACTGAGTTCTTCATGTAAAATGTGCCTTACCCTTTCTTCTGAGATGCCTACAGCCTTAGCTATCTCATACACCTTTACTCGTTGATCATCTAGAACCATATTGTGTATATTCTCAATATTTTCTTCAGTAGTTGCAGTTTTTGGCCATCCTTCACGTGAATCATCTTCAATCGATGTATGTTTAAACTCTGCTGCCCATTTTTTTACTGTTGATAACGAAGGTGCAGACTCCTTATACACTTTTACCAACTTTGGATAAATTTCTGTTGGCGATAAACCATCCAAAATAAAGAATTTTATGACGGAACGATATTCAAGTTTATTCATTTTGTCAAAAACAAACACAATGCTTACTTTAAACAGCCGTATAAAAAAACTATTTGTCTGATCAAATTCACACTTGGTATTTACTTTTGTAACAAGTTTGGAAACATAACCAGATGATACTTTCATTTGTAGTAGTGCCATCTATGGGCTAGGCGAAGAACTTTTCACCTTGCCCTCATATTTTCTTATTCTTATACTTTTTTTCTTATACAGTAGAACCTCGATTATCCGGATTGTTCAAAATAAACAAAAATTTTACAAATTTGCTGATTTGCACTTGGCGAATTACGATACTGTTTATGTACGTGATGGAATACATAACTTTCTTTGTTTCAACAACGTCTCACCCGGCACAGTGGCCGTAAACTCTTAAATATATTTTGCGTCGTAATAAAAATATAACTTGACATATGTATTTATAAATAATTTATTTTCAAATTACATCATTTCTATAACCAAGGGCGGCGTAAGGCATGGGCAACTTGGGCCACCGTCTATGCCTCGCGGTCCGAAGAGCCTCGCGTTTTGAAGGTTTACGCATTACTTAAAAGCCGCAAATGAGATGAAAAAATTTTACTCAGCATAAAACGATAAATAGTTTGTCAAGAAACAAATGAACGTTTGTTTCTTGAAAATTTGATCACGATTTAAATACAGTATTTACTTTTAATATTACCGATATGTCATCAAAAAGAAAACATGTTGTATTATCATTAAAAGACAAATTAAAGTATTTGTTTTGATTATCCGAATTTTTCCTTATCCGGACTACCTTCATCCCCAATTAGTCTGGATAATCGAGGTTCTACTGTATTTTCAAATTTATATATATAATTGAGATGGGTTAATAATAATAAGTGCAGAGCCCAAATGGTAAGGAGTTGAAGATTGAAATTTGATACACATTTAGGGTATGTCATGAGAACATACACTAAGGGATTTTTCAAAATTCCCCCCGCGGGGGAGAGTGACAGAATTAAGGCTTCCCATGAAGAACTTGGCTTCTATTATACTATTTTAGATGTGGTTTTTGTGTTTTTGATTGTATTTTAATAGGATATGTTAGGTGGCCGGATGGCCGATCGGTCAAGGTGGCAGCCTACTGCTCTGGGGGACAAAGGTTTGAATCTGAACAGGTCGAAAAATCCCCAGGAATTTTTCGGGGGTGGTCCATTTGTATATATCGGGCCCCACCCCTCACCACCCAGCAGCCCCATTGTGGGCCTGGCCGAACCCATAATGGGCTTGCAAAAAGAGGACCTCTTAATGTCCACAGAGCGGAAAGAGTAAAAAAAAAAAAAAGTATGTCATAAGAATGTACACTAAAAAGGAATTTTTCGAAATCCTCCCCGCAGGGAGAGGTTGTTAACAATAAGAGTGTTAAGTAACAATGAAAGTGTTAAGAATGGAAGTGTTAACAATGAAAATGTTAAGAATGGAAGTGTTAACAATGGAAGTGTTAACAATGAAAGCGTTAAGAATGGAAGTATTAAGTAACAATGAAAGTGTTAGGAGAAAGCAACATGCAAGATTTACAAGCGCAGATGCGGTTTTTTGCGTTTTTGTGAGAAATCGAACATATTTTTAGACCCATCTAAAAATTTTCTAATTAGTCTGGAAACAAGAGTACCTGATTCTTGCATTCTGTTAAAATGGGTAAGACTGGCTATAATGTAAATAATCTTAATCTTTGCTATCGTTACTTTTTGTCCAAGCAATGCTGGGCTTATCTGCTAGTTTATTTATAATTAGTATTAACAAAATTTTAAATATTTGAACATGATTACCAAAATTATTTCAAAATTAAATTTATAAATTTTTACTTACTTATTATCTAAATGCCAAGTTAATATTCTACTAAATATAGTTTCCATCACTTCATCATCAAATTCATTTATTCCTAATATATTAAAATGTCTTAAAAATCTTAACGAAACAGTATTCTGTCCTCCAACTATAACCAAAAGTTAAAATAAAATTAAAATTGTAGAAAAAAATAATTCTAATAATAATTCTACTTACTAAATAATCTAAATGTTTATTTTCATTAATTTCAAAATTTAAACTATAATAAATACATTTCAGAATAATAAATTTTTCTCTTTAACAAAATATAAAATAAATTTTACTATAAAACTTGAAAACGTTTCTTGTAAAACAGAAAATATTTTTGAAAATATGAAAAAATGATATGCAAGAAAAATTTAAATATTTACCTGGAGGACCCATTGCTACCATTAATTGAATATCAGTTAAATTCATAGGTGTTTTCTCTTTAAGATCATACCATAAATGATGATCTATCCACTGACGAAGAACCTCAATGGGAGGTTGGGCTCCAAATGTTTCAGGCAGGGGCATATTAAGATCATCCACAAATACAATCTGAATTTCAATAAAATATAATTATTATATAATATTTTTTAACAGTGCTATGAAGAATATTTTACATATTATTATTTAAAATTCCGCTAAAAATATTTATCTAAGTACTTTCATGTTTATAGTTGTTTGAGATAAAAATAATTACTGTTCTGGACCATCTGCACTGTAATGAAACTGGATCATCCAGTTTCATTACAGTGCAGTTCTATTTTACCTTCTAAAATTTATTTTTAAAAATGTATAAATCAGTTTTTTAACTTTTACATTCTTAATATTTTCCTAAATATTTCTCTCTGGTAGCCAATCAATGCAATTAATTTTAACACATTGAGCACTATGTGTTGCAAATATGCAACTCACGCAGCAATTCATCCTAGCTGTGTGTTGAAAAAACGCAACACAATGTGGCTGTACGCCATTGTATAATTTTAGTTTAGTTTGAAATTTTAGCATTCTTCTTTGATCTTTGTTCCCACTTACTTCTAGAACTTTCTAATCTTAATTTTTCTCCTGGATGGAGCAAGAAAACTTTATAAACTTATTGGAGTGATGGTGTAGTAAATCTCGAATATAGATAAAAGGCAGTGGCGTGCCGTGACATTTGATGATAGGGAAGCTGTGTTTCTATAAGAAGCCGACTTCCAGGGGCAATCAGTCAGCAATGGTCTAGGGTCCATTCGTATTCGTTTGTTCGATAAGCCAGTAAAAACCGTAGACTTCTCTAAATGTATTTTTAATTAATAGATTATCTAACGCACTTAATAAATAAGCAAGTTCAATATAATTAACTCTCTTATATTAGATTTAATAGATTCTATACGCCCTCTAAATGCCAATTCTCGCTTCGATAACATCTACTAATTAAAATATATCTATTAGCCGTAACTATCTTGTTATAATTTTCAATATATATTTTATATTGTGTACTAATGTTAAATTCTATTCTATTTTGATTTCCAAATTGCTTCAATTTTACGAAAGAATCGATGCGAGATTTAGGATTTTCGTGTCTTTTGCCAGCTTTACTCAAATTATTTAAATCGTCAAAGCCAATCTCATTCTACACACTAATTTTATTTGAAAATAGTAGGCAAGGCCAACAAAACAAATTTTGCATTTTTATGCATCCACAAAGCCATTTTATATCTTCATAAATTTTATCATGAAAATGTCGAACAAATTTTTTCTTTTTCATTATATGGTCTCGAGCCAAAACTTTTTGAAATAAATTTTCGATATCACAATTACATTCTAAATTGCTAGCTATAATATAAGGGCTAAAATTAAAAATAAAATTATAAAAACTTACTTGTTAAAATAAAATGTGTGATGATATACAATTATACATACCTGGTACAAAATATTCAATTGTATGAATATACTTTTAAAGAAAATTATAAATATAGTTTTGTGAAGAAACGTACATAAAAATAACATAAAATAGTCTTTACTTTTTAAATATTAAAACAATCCACCTAGTTAAAATTGCTCCCTACCAGTGGCTCGTGGATGGAATCAGAGACGGTCTTGGTAGGTGTGCGGTGCGGTGCATGCTTGCCAAATCCCGAGGGTGCCGATACCGGTTAATGTCTCTTTTGTCTCATCACTAGTATATCTCAAAGGACGCGACAGGGTTGTTGTAAATTTTAAACGTTTCTCATCATAGCTGTAAAAATCTAAATTTGTTAAACTTAAAAGTCATTTGTTTTCTAACTACTGTAATTCGTTTTAAGACCAGGTGTCCACGGAAATTTCCAAAATTTACAACTTTTACTCACTTTCATTGAACTGGAAAAATTTCTGTCTTTATTACATCTAATATTACGAAGAAATCAGTCCCACTGTACTCGGCTAGATATTGGTCCGGTTAGGCTTTTGTTTAAGTAAAATTCCGGCTCTTTCATCAGGGTTTTGTTTACGTCCCCAATTCCCTAATCGCTTAATTATTTAACTACTTCTTAAGTAGAAATAAGTCGAAACCAGTTACTTTGTACTCGAATATTTGTAGTCTCGGGAAAAAAGTGGAAAGACAAATTTTTACGACAACGGATACATAAATCGTAAATTTAAGGAAAATAAATTCTAGAGCCTTTTCTGTACCTCGTGCATCTCTCTCATTCATTAAATTTAGTTGTAAATGATGCTGTCGAAGTAACGGTTAATTTTTTAACATTATACAAGAATTGTACACGTTTTTTTCTACATCCCCTTAAAGATGGGATGTACGAAATCGTAATATCACTGGTTTAACATCGAAATCCGTGAGTAATATAAAATCGGAGAGCGGAATAAATATATCAAATATTTTAATGGATTTTTTAAACTCCTGTCAACTATACAGAACTATCGTAAAAACATACCAGTAAATTCTTATCGGTTGGGTTAAGTTATAAATCTACTCGTTATTCACGTAATCGAAATATCTAGTGGGCAGGCGGCTAACAGCCCAGAACCGGTCCTTGATAGAATTGGAATCTTTATATGTGTGCAGCTTTCACCCAAGGTCGTAGGCTTCCACCGGCTAAACCGGGTGAGGTTGGTGCTCTGTAAAGCGCATGCGCAAATCTGGCTTTTCGTAATCTGAAAATACAGGAGATTCCACTCCGCCACTAATATTCTAATATACAATAGCAATTTTTTTTTCCCCGTGTAGTATAGAAATTTGTAATAAGATACATAATGCGGTTATAATAAAATATTGTGCGATTATTTTCATATAATTAATATTAATATTTATTTATTTTTTAGAGAATATGAGGGAAGCGGCGCTTCCAACACTTCTAATGATGGCACGCCACTGATAAAAGAAAGATGGAAGCTCAAAGTAAGTCTCAGGAAGCCCCATGTGGCCCCCTCATGGAAGCTAAATAACATACATTCTGGGTACGCTATTCTTCTCTATCTTGCTATTTCTTGCCTATATCCTCTGATCTCTTTTCCCCTTGGTATAAGTTAGTTTTTAAGGATTTGTTATAAAAAATCTCTTGTTGTATTACACAAGCTAGGCTTCTTTGTATACTTCATGATATTGTGTAACTGTCCAGCCAACAATTTGGATTTTGAGTGACTGCCTGTTATACTGTTTTAGAGTTGGAATCCATCAGATCTACATCTTTTGTGTGTAAACAAATACTTTTTCCACTGTCTTCTCTGAGTAGTTTCTTGTTTGCTGTATTCGCCCTCATTGGCTAATGGTAATTTCATTCATAACATCACAACACATTATACGTAGAAATCTGTACTGTGTTGCTTTGAAGTAATATGCTAGCCATATAAATGTAATGGAAATAGTTAGAGTCTAGTCTGTGAAAATGGAAATTGCACTTGGCCCAATAAATATTTTTGTGATAGAATGCTAATAAAAATTTAATTTTTTCCTCTATAAAATATGAAGAATGTGCATAATTTGCCATTGCTAATGTTTTCCTCACACAATAAATGTGAGTAGGTACAATATTGTGAAAATATAAAGTACAGAGACTAATATTCAAGAAACAATATTTATTTTCTTTTAGTAAAAAAAAAACAGTAAAAAACCAGTATGTACAGGAATCTTCTACTTTCGTACAATTTGCTATTTCGTACACATTTTGTACTTTTAACTTTTATCAATATACTAGTAGCCCGGGACGCCCCCTAGTGGGCGTTATTTACAAATTTCCATGAGGCACGGTTCCTTTGACTTTTTTGTTCCTATCAATATGCTGTACAGTTCCGTTAAAGTCCCAATGGTAAGATTTACTCTCCGAATGAAGAGGTGGCGAACCCCCAAACCGTACACCCCTGTATTAACAATAAAGTCAAAGGAGCCATACCCCTACTCGCGACCCTTCGAGAGATATAAGCCCCTGAAATAATAAATTCCTATTACAAATATACTGAATTATTTATATTGTTATATTGACCAAATAATAATTTATTGGCAAAATGAATAATAAAAATTTATATCGTTAATTTAAATAAGAATTAAAATTGTTAATTTGAATGTTTGAAATATGATACACGATAGGGGCGCCTCTAGTGTCTGTTTTCAAACGGTTACGGGACAGATGGACAGTTGAATGGGTTATATATATAGATATGGAAAAAATGTGCATACTTTCATATAATGCTTCCCCTTCTCATGAACTATTAGTCACTAGTCCCTCCCCACCTCTGACATTAATCATTAATGATGTGATTAACGTTAGAGAGGTGGGGAGGAACTTTTTCGGGATCACAGGTTCAGTCTTGAGTTAGCTTTCATGCATCTTGATAAATTTTTGATCATCCTGAAAGAATGTGATCCCAATTGAGAGTGTATATCTCATGTACAAAGAGCAATAGAAAAAGATACAGCATGTTACAGAACTCTATCAAGAAAAGAAAAAGAAGTGCACAATTCAATTATCTCTTGGCAAATTTATAATAAAAACACTAGATACTAATCAATAAAAAAATAAATATTTTGAAAACTCTTTTTGATGTTTTTTTTACATCACTTTTCAGGAACCAATTAGGTACGAAAGTAGAGGACTGCTTGTATGTAATTTTAGTGACTATTTTATTTTTTTTATGAATTTATACAGATCCATTTATCCAATCTAGAATTTATGCATTTATGTGGTTATGCATTTAGGAGTTATGTTGAATTTAAAACCTGATGATCATATAAGATGGCAAACATGATCAGAAAATAATCATTCAGGTCACATGTTGCAATTCCACAATATGCCTAAAAATTGAAAAAAAAAAGTTTTTTTCAAGAATGACGGAAAATTATATTAAATGGCCATAAATGTATAGTGAAGCACTTTATACCTTGTTTTTTTTAGCCAGTTTTTATTGGTTTAAAGTTTTTGTTTTTACTTCTTTTAATTGTCAAATTTTTTCTATGTTTTAGCAAGTTTTATTTTTTCCTTTTACAGATATATCCTTTTATTATTTATTATCATTATTTAGTCATTTTATTATATTTATTTATTATTTTGTTTTTAATTTATTTCAGTTATACTGGTTTTACCCTACTTTTTTTTAACACTTAGTTATTTCAGGTAATTATATAGGTAATTTTTTGTATATTTTGAGGTGTATGCATATATAAAATAGAAATAACTATGAAATTTATCCTGTAATTTATTACATAGTTTTAACATTATATATAATGAGGACTGAAGAGGGGCATTGGTCTGAAATGCATTTCCTTTCATAAAAAAAATAGAAAATAAAATTTACTTTTTCCAAAAAAGTGTTCCTGTATGATAAGTTCTCTATAGCAATTTTGTGCTTAATTCCAAAAAAACAAACAACCAAAATAGAGAACAACAAGCAATCAAGTACCTGAAATTAAGTATTAACTATAATATACAGATTCAAATATATGTACTAAATAGACACATATTCTGTTACAATGCTTTGGTATAAGACAGCAGAAATAAATAATAACAAACAGAATATGAATAAGTAGAATTTTAAGTTTCATTTTAATGTGCTGGACATTTCTGGATGAAGTTGTGTGTTTAATTATTTTTTGGATATTCTCATATTATTATTATTATTATGATTATTATTACCAGTTTTTTCCCTGGAGGTGGTCCATATAATCCTTTTCTTCTTCTTATTAATTTTCCCATTATAATCTTCTGAGTTTGATTAGCACTTGTTTGTGCAGAAAAATTTATAATAAGAGGTGAATATGTCTCTCTGTTCATTTTATTTAAAAGGAAATTCTATAAATAAAATAATATATATATAAATACATAGAATTAATGGAAATTACATTTAGAAAAACTGAAAATTTTTCACAAAATGAAAAAAATTAATATATGTTTTATTTAAAATTAAAAATAAATTTTATGATTTTTGTTTTACAGTTTGATGAATTTAGTAATTACTTAGGTTTTATTAATTTTGTATGTATTTAAAATATAAAAAATTGAGAATTATATTAAGAAAATAATTTTATAACACAGTGATTTAGTAGCTTAATTTTATTTATTTTTTTGTATATTTAAAAAATCTAGTAAACTGCAAATTATAAATAATTTAAAGTTTAAATTTACTTAACTTACTTTAATATACATAGATTTTCCTGTTCCTGTTGGTCCAGTTAATAACATCTCTTTTTGTTTGTTTACTAACATTGATATCAAATATATATAACGAATAGTATCCACTGTAGGAATAAGAAGTTGATGAGATTCAATATCTTGTGGTAAAGGAGTAACCTTCATTAATTCTACTTTCCAAGGCATCCATTGTCCGGGTAGTGAAATATCCTAAATCACATAAAACTTTTTATTATATCAATAACACGCATTTCCTCCAAAACGTTTTCTTAAACTTTAAGCTAAAGGAAATATTTAAAATATTGGAAAATATTTTCAGTTTTTTTCAATAGTTAATTACCTTTTGAACAAATTTATAATCATAAACAAGTTCAATATTTGGAATTGGATAGTCTAAAATATAGTCAAGAGGATATGAAGTTTCAGTAAATCCATATCTTTCACAAAATTCTTCCGATGGCTCACCCTAATCAAACATAAGTACAATAATTAAATTTCATTTCTGAATTATTAAAAAAAAGTAATAACAATTTTTCATGTACATATAAAAAAGTCATATTATAACAACAGTGATGTTAAGTTTTGATACAATCTTGCCTCAAGATTGTCTAAGATCATTATAATAATGTCTCAGTCTCATCTTGGTCTTACTAGTAGTGTCTTGCATTGGTCCTAGTTCATTTTTTTATCTATTTGGCATTTTATATTATTTTATAACAGTATCAATATTGAGCTCTTTGATACAACGTTTTCCTAAAATAAAAGTTGTCTCAAATGTTTAAAATCAAATTATAATGAGGAAAATAAAACATATATCTTATACAGATTACATATGCTTTTATTTTTGCTATTATTTCAGCATCATAAATAATCAGTGCTGCAGGAATGATTATCACTATCACCTTCTGGAACATACAACAGCAATGATTGAAGTTGCTGTTATATGTTGCAAAAGGTGACAGTATTTTCACTGTTGCACAAATCATGTGCGACATCCTAATTAGTTTGATGAAACAAACTTCCAAAGCAGTATTCCAATAAACCATTATCTTTCTATGTCACTATATTCAGCACTTCTCATTGGTCACCCTTGCAACTAGCACAAAAGAAATTTGTTTGGTGTCAATTGCAGCTTGCCCTCAAGCATTGCTGGAGGTGTTTACCAAATTACTGGAATATGGAGCTCATTGCAGTTACTGATGTGTCTAGAAAGAACAACTGTGTAAACATGGCTTAAGGTATCAGAATGTTACACCTTTGTCTTGATCTTGTCTTGACTCTGTTTTTTAGGTCTTGGTCTTGAACTTGAAAGTTAAGATCTTGTTTAACATCATTGTATAACAAAATTATTAATTCAATAAACACAGGGTGATTCAAAAGTCACAGAAATTTTAAAAAATTAATAACTCACAAACTATTTACAGTAAGATGATGTGGTTTTCACAGAAATGCTTAGAAAAAAGCAGGATTTTTTTAGGTGTAGTAAAAATTTTAGTGCCAAGATAGTTACATTTCTTGCCACAGATGGCACTATAGAAAACTGAAAGCATTTGTAATTTGTTAAAATAAGAATAAAAAACTAAAAAATATTCTTAGTGTAAGCTCTAGTAACAACTACAGAAATTATGTAATCTTATCAAGTGTCATCTATGGCAAGAAATGTAACTATCTTGGTACTAAAATTTTTATTACACCTAAAAAAATCCTGCTTCTTTCTAAGTATTTCTGTGAAAACTGCATCATCTTACTGTAAATAGTTTGTGAGTTATTAATTTTTTAAAATTTCTGTGACTTTTGAATCACCATGTACATTACCTGTGCTTAACATTTATCTAAATTCCAGAAGCATTTGTTTGAAAATTTAAAGTTCAATAAAAGTTATACAATTCAATTAATTGAAAATACAATTTGAAAAAACTGCACTGTCCCATTTGTGTCTGTTCTTCCTTGAGAACGATGTTAGATAGGCAAAAGTAGAAAGCAGATAGGGAAAGCTTAGGGGGCAGGAGGCCACAATTAACTATATACAAACTTCCAGTGTACACTGGAAGTTCCATGAATTCAATTCAAAAAATTTTCCCTGAATAGAATTCTAAAGATGACTAGCATGACTCAGTTGTTATCAGGAAAAGTATGATGTACAGGGGCAAGACACTACTAATTTGAGCTGGAGAGCACACATTTTAAATTAAATAAATTAAGAATACAATTAAAAATTGCAGTCTGGCATTGTGATGATGTCATAATAAATAAATGCTCGTTTTGTAGTTAATTTTTTCCTACTTTCACAACATTCTCAAAAATTTGTTGCAGTCATCATTAAATGAAATATGAGAGAAAATGGTAAATAATATATCAGCATTTTCGCTCATATTTTATTTGACAGTTAACATTCATAATGCTAATATATTATTATATGTTACAATTATTTATGCAAGTAAACAGTAGTCAACAGAAAAATTAATATGTTCATTAACATATAAAATAATTAATAATGTGAAGTAATTTTCCAAAAAGACAATGGTCTGCATAAGTGTCAAACAGAAATATTGGAGAGCAAAATATTTTTGGATAAGTAATTATGCTATATTGTGATCTTTAATGAAACTATTCTATAACTATAAAAAGAATAACTTTTTATAGTTATTCTTATAAAAAGTTTATGAAAAATAACTGTCTAATTATAAAATGTAGCTTGATCAAACAGAAATTGTAAGTGACACTGTAACGCTAACTGTTACATTTAGCATAACTTTGCTGTTCATATTCTAAATTTATAACTCCCAAAAAGATAAGTCATATCTTCTAANCTGCTAACAGAGAGTGTGATGAACACGTAATAAATTATTTCACAAATGTCAATATAGTGTATATTTATATATATATAATTATACATACTCTCATTACTTCATGAAAAGCAGAATTAAAATTCAAACTTCCTTCTTTATTTAAAGTTGAACCTAATGACCATACTGCACAGAAGAGAAAATTACACTGAAAAAATTAATGTAATTATAATAATTAATGTATTGTAAATTAAGTAAACATACATATAATAAATAAATAAATTTTATTATTATTTTAAAAATATATAATTTCATTTTCATTTCCTTATTGTGATGAATAATAAAAATGATTTCATTATTATTTTCTTAAGAAAAATCATTAATATAAAAATATACTAAAATCTAAATAGAGACAAGAATCAACTTTGGTTTTTTTTTTTGGATATTTTCTTAGTTGTTAATATTTTCAGATATTTGCTATGTATAAGTTGGAAATATCGATTTTAATTCATGATAAATATTTACATATATTTATATATTAAATATGCTAATTTTAGTTTATTATTGTGTGATCAATTAAAAATATTTCTTCTTTGTAGAGTTGGTTTGCCTATAATTAGTAGTTTACTGTATCTAAGGGATGGAAAGAATGGCTTGTGCCATAGGTGCAACTTGAAGGGAGGCACCACTAAGCACTTTCTATTAAAGTCTGATAAGCTATCCTTAGTGAGAAAAAATTTTCTTCAGAAGTATGATCTGTGTTTAATTATAATGAATGAAAAGCACTATGATGACTGCATTGTTAAACTATTTATATAAATTATTACATAACAATACAGTGCTGGGAACTACATGACCACATACATAGTACCACTTGTTAAATATTTTAATAATAATTGCCAAAAATCTATATTATCCAAATTGTTCCTTTTAAAATTATCATTTTTGTAAAAACTTCACTTATTCTTAAATTTACTTTATGATTTCTATAAAAATGTGTAACCAAACTAGTTTTTAGTTCTGATTTATTCCTAATTCTATTTTCCTTATCTTAAATCATGTAGTTAAAAGATTTATTTTCTACCATTAAATATACTGCATACTTATGTATGTATAAAAATCCAGTATTCATGTTCATACCCATTAATATGTTCTTATCAAAAGTACCATTTCCTTTTCCAGAGCATTATGTAAGAAAATCATGTAACATTTCTTCACAACAAGGAAAGTGGAGTTGAAGGATAATAGTGACAAAACTTGGAAGTGGAGGAAGCCAAAAAGTTAATTGAGATCTTAATTTCCTTCTTTGCAAAGCCTAGAACAAGTTATTCAACATATTCCATGGTGTTGTCTATATCTGCTACAAGTTTATTAGAATCCAAAGGTGTATCAAGTACAGGTGGTAATTATGGTGTTATTAAGTTTACTGATAAGATTTTACCTGATGATTCTGCACCTAGTAAACTGAATGATGTCAAAGAGCCTCAGACTGTCATGACAAAAGTAATTAAACAGCATGACATTGGACTTCTGAAGTTTAACAAGGATACTGGAAAAGCAATTCTGCCTAAGTGCTGAGAATAGAAATAATAAAGCTAAATGGGTTGGAAGTATTTATAGAACAGTGAGGTACCTTCCCTCGCTTCCAACCCAGCTTTATTATTTCTATTCTCACCAAGAAATCTGCTCAGTGAACAAACTTAAGTTCAAGAGGAAATTTGGGGATAGTCGTGGTGAGGAAGTGACTCATTCATGGCTAGTCTACTTCTCTTCTAAAAAGTCTGCATTTTGTATCTGTTGTCTTGTCTATTCCTGGTCAATTATCAATCCCTATCAGAGCAAGAAAGTGAGTTTAATTAATGGAAAGTACCTGAAAGGAATCATGTTCATGAAAATGCTGAGAATCTTCAGGAGTGCTTCACACAGTGGAAAGAAATTTAGCTAAAAACAGAGGGTTTATTGAGGTGGAACTTGACACAAATTGAGAAGAAAAAGCAGAACTAGTGTGATATCTTGATGAGAATTCTTCACTGCATAAAATTCCTTGCAACTCACAACCAGGCTTCTTGAGGATATAGAGAATCACTTCAACTAGACTATGATTCCAATGTGGGAAATTTCCTTGGCTTACTGAAACTATTAGTCATCTTTGAATTTGTCATGAAAGAACACCTCACTCATGTTGAAAGTCAATCTGGATCCATGTCTTATCTTTCATAGTAGTCCAGAAGAAATTCATTCCCCATGATGGCATCCCCTGTTTGCCAGAGTTTATTGAGAAGCATTCATAAAGCCAAGTCCTATGGTCTTATGTTATGGTTTTATGATTTGCCTCCGGATCAAGCACACTGTGAACAGATTCCAGAAGTAGTGAGATAAATGAAAGTTGATTTTGAGAGGAAAACAGTCCATGTTAGAGAGTCCTTCCTTGTCTTTATTCAGATAATGCTGCCAGAAGGATGTTGAGAAATTGGTTGAAAACATAACAGATAGAAAAGGACAAGATGGAGCTACAAGATTGTTGGTCACGATGTTATGACAATGCTGCTGTGATATCTGGAACAGAAGTGGTGTTTAATAAAGAATAAATGAGAGAAACAACCTGGAAGTGTTTCTGAATTGCAACAATTACTCACTTAACTTGGTGGATTATAAACAGTCAAGAAAAATATAATAATGATCATATTTTTTGGAGCCATTGAAGCTTGTTATATGTTCTTCTCTTGTGAGAGAAGAACATATAACAATAACGAGCACTGTAAAAAACTCAAAAACATTGTGCCTACAGTTGTTAAGTTTCACTCTAAAGCCAGGTAGATTGCAAGGACATAAGCAGTGAAACCTATCAACAAGTACCTTGGGAAAATACTTTAAGTTCTCCAGGACATGATAGACAATGAAACAGGTAAAACAAGTGGCTCCAGCCAGCTGTATAACATATGCTAAATTATGATTTCCTGACTTTGCTAGGATCTAGGAACAAATACTCTTTTGCAATGACTATGTTCAAAAGAGAGTATAGGATCCTAGCATGAACTTCTATGATGTTGCCCTACATTTGTTATGATGTTGATGTGATAAGCCCTCCAATTTATTAAAACCCTATCTATTAGGTTAACTAACTCAATCTAAATTAAAGTCATGGCTAGAAGTGTTATTTATTATTATTTGGGTCCCTTCTTGATGTCAAGAAATTGTGTTATGGTCCCAATGCTGACAATAATGACCTAAAGAAAAAGTTCAAAAGTTTCTATATATATATATATATATTTCTATATTCTATATATTTAATAAATACATAGAAATATGTATGATATATAAGATGTGAATAAAGATATGATAAGATATGACATGAATAAAAACAGAAGAATGGAATATAATTATCAAATTTCTTACTGATTTTGAGTAAGTAACCCAAATTTTTGTTGAAACATACAGTAGACCCCCTATAACACGGGTTCATATAATACGGATTTGTAACACACGATGAAAAAATTGTGATCGTGTTCATATAAACACGCTAAAAGAGACTTGTATAATACAGTAAAATATCATCGCCAACTTGTGTTGCGACAGGATTGGTCGAATCTAGACTAACAGCGGATATTGCACAAACCATTGAGTTTAAACAAGCAGCAGACCTACAAAAAACCATTTATTATTTAATGGCCATAAAAATTATATTTATATTAATGATATCTCCAAAGTTAAGTTATTTTTCTGCAAAAAATTCGCTGATCAGGAAACACACGTTCACCGTTTGATGTGCTGCTCCACAACGAAAACAAGCTTAAGCAATGGCGTTGTTGAACAGTGCACACTCAGTAAGTAATCCTACAATGTTTTGTTTATAGCATAGTTTATATGGATTATTCCCAAAAAAATTATACATGTTTTGGAAATGTCGAGTCAAATTAGTCTAGAATCAATTAATTTTATGGAAGAAAACCTTTCAAACAGCCGTAGTCCCTAAATTGCATATGTGCCAGGCTGTGATTGGCTCATGTATTTAAGTGACTCATACAACATGGAATTCATAAAACACGGAACTTATCTACCATGTTATTGCGGGGGTCTACTGTATTTAATATAAAAATATTTCTGATCAAATATTGAAATACAATCAAACCTTGGGTTTCAAACTTAATTCATTCCTAAAAGTTATTCTAAAACCAAAACATATTTTCCCAAAAGTAACAATATAAAATGGATTTATCCATTCCAAACCACCAAAACAAAGCCTTTTTTTTATTGATACCTTTTTAGCTGTATTTCATTCATAAAAATGCCTACAAATGCAATATAATATTATCTATATCTATTCTATATTTATACATACATACATACATATATAGAAAGCAAAATGTTCCCTTACCACCAACCAAAACTGAAACTAACACTTTACAAAATAGTGCTATAAATAGAGACTTAATTTTGACTGCCTGGATAAAATATAACTAAATCAATGAAATCAGACAACAAATATTTTACCCACACTTTCTGAAATATTATGTTTCAATTGATTTGATTTCAATTTTAATTTAAATTAGTTAATTAATTTTGATTTTATTTTTAATTTTAGTTTTGCTTCAGTTTCTGTATAAATATCAGAGTTTTATTATTTTTAAATTTAATTATTATTTTTAGTTTTAATTAATTGGTTACCTAGTATTAATAAATATTATATTATATTACCATAATAAATTTTTGTTATTTATTTTAACTTAAGCATATTTAAACACGAATTCTTGGATGTCATTTATATTTCGTAAATGTCAATTAATGCAGTGTTTATTAATTAATTTGATTTAGATTCAACTGTGCACATACCAAAAAACAGATATAGTATCTTTCCTGCATGCGTATTAAAATCTAATTTAAATAGCAATGTGATTGATGATTCATGTTGTGATGGCTAATGACATGAGGCAATCTTGGCACCAACTTCTGAATCAGTAATCGTGTTGTTGATTGGTCGGGCCATTGACTTTCTTTAACATAGTGTGGCTGTATGCCATATTAATGCACAGTAGGTGATTAGTTAATGAACATAATCCAAGACTTTGTTCGCTATCTGAATTGTTCGTTAACCGATTATCGATTTACCATAGGTTTTTATGGGAATTTGATTAATTATTCCGAAGACTCCAAAAAATATAAAAATATATACTTTTTTACTATGTTTATTTATATTTAATAATAAAAATA